TATAGATAAATCTGACTGAAGAGCATGAAGACCTACACACTAAAGGAAGACTTAAAAGAGAAATTAACAAAGAATTAGAAATATATATTTTAATGAGTTAGTGAACTTGTGGAACTACAGAATAAATGTAATCCTAATAGAAATTCCAGTGGGCTTTTATTATGCAAATTAACAAGCTGTACATAAACTCTGTGTGGAAGAGTCATATATAAATGCTATAGACTTAGAATAACTAAAACAACTTGAAAACACATTTGAAGGCTAATATTATTGCCTTCCAAAATGACTAAAATTATAGAGTACAAACCTAAATTTAAAATCTAAAAATATAAAATATTTCAAAGAAAACTTAAAACAAAAACCTTTGTGTGAGGGGTTGGCCCTGTGGCATAATGGGTAAAGTCGTTACCTGCAATGCCGGCATCCTGTATGGACACTGGCTTGAGTCCTGAATGCTCCACTTCCAATCCAGCTCTCTTCTATGGCTTGGGGGGCAGTAGAAGATGGCCCAGGTCCTTGGGCCCCTGCACCCGTGTAGGAGATCCAGATGAAGCTTCTAGCTCCTGGCTTCGGATTGGCACAGCTCCAGCCATTGCAGCCATCTGGGGAGTGAACCAGCGGACGGAAGACCTCTCTCTCTCTCTCTCTCTCTCTCTCGCCTGCTCACTGCCTCTCCTCTCTCTGTGTAACTCTGACTTTCAAGTAAATAAATAAATATTAAAAAAAAAACCTTTGTGACCTTTAGAGGGCAATAACTACCACAACAAAAGCACCATCCATAACAAAGTGACAGATTAAATGTCTTGAAAATTAAAAAATTACTGCTATTCAGAAATACTGAAAAAAGAATGAAAAGACAAGCCATACAGCAAATTAACAGACTCACACTGAAAATATAGGAAGAACTTACACAATTCAATTTCAAGAAAACTCAAAACTCAAGTTTTTCAATTGTCATTTATTTTACTTGAAAGGCAAACATACAGAAATAGACAAAACTCTCTAAGTCTCCCGCATGAAGTGGCAAGTATGCGAACAGCTCAACCTTCACCTGCTGCTTCCCAAAGTGAGCATTAGCAGGAATCAGAAGTGAGCTAAGAATTCAAATGCAGGCATTAGAAAATGTGTGTGGACATACACATGACACATTAACTGCTGCACCAAAGACTTGCTCTTCAATTTTAAAAGTAGATAAAAGACTATCAAAGAAAATATGAAACTATCAAATAATGAGCTGAAAAATATTCAGCATCATTAGTCATTAGGGAAATATAAATCAAAACTGCAGCAAGGGCTAGAGAATGGCCATTCCAGTTGCTTGAGGAGGATGTGAAAGATCTGAAATCCTCACTATTAGAAATGTGCCATTGGAGGGTGAACCAACGGCAAAGGAAGACCTTTCTCTCTGTCTCTCTCTCTCACTGTCCACTCTGCCAATCAAAAAATAAAAAAAAAAAAAAGTGTCCATGTAAAGACTTATACATGAATGCTGAAAATGTTCAGGGGCCAGCACTGTGGCTCACTTGGTTAATCCTCTGCCTGTGGTGCTGGCATCCCATATAGGCACTGGGTTCTAGTCCCGGCTGCTCCTCTTCCAGTCCAGCTCTCTGTTGTGGCCTGGGGAAGTCAGTGGAGGATGGCCCAAGTGCTTGGGCCCTGCACCCACATGGGAGACCAAGAGGAAGCGCCTGGCTCCTGGCTTCAGATCGGCGCAGCACCAGCTGTAGCAGCCATTTGGGGAGTGAACCAATGAAAGGAAGACTTTCTCTGTCTCCTTCTCTCACTGTCTAACTCTATCTGTCAAATAAATTAAAAAAAAAAAAGATAAAAAAAAGAAAGAAAATATTCATATCAACTTTTTTGTTGTAGCCCAAAGCTTTGACAACTCAAATGTCTGTTAATGGATGAAAGAATGAATGAATGAATAAATAAATAAATAAATAATAAATAAAGGCATATTCCCTAGTGAAATGTCACTCACGTTAAGACGGTACTTCAAAACATTCATGGAAAAATGTTCCATGACTTTTTGAAAGTGCATGTGTGTGTGTGTGTGTGTGTGCTCTAGGTTTTTGTTTGTTTTTGTAATATCTTTTTTTTTAACTTTTATTTAATGAATATAAATTTCCAAAGTACAGCTTATGGATTACAATGGCTTCCCTCCCCCATAACTTCCCTCCCACCCACAACCCTCCCCTTTCCCACTCCCTCCCCCCTTCCATTCACATCAAGATTCATTTTCTATTCTCTTTATATACAGAAGATCAGTTTAGCATATATTAAGTAAAGATTTCAACAGTTTGCACCCACAAAGAAACACAAAGTGAAAAATACTGTTTGAGTACTAGTTATAGCATTAAATCACAATGTACAGCACATTGAGGACAAAGATCCTACATGAGGAGTAAGTGCACAGTGACTCCTGTTGTTGACTTTACAAATTGACACTCTTGTTTGTGGCATCAGTAATCACCCTAGGCTCTTGTCATGAGCTGCCAAGGCTATGGAAGCCTTTTGAGTTCAGCAACTCTGATCATATTTAGGCAAGGTCGTAGTCAGAGTGGAAGTTCTCTCCTCCCTTCAGAGAAAAGTACCACCTTCTCTGATGACCTGTTCTTTCCACTGGGATCTCACTCGTGGAGATCTTTCATCTAGGTTGGTTGTTTTTGTTTGTTTGTTTGTTTGTTTTTGCCAGAGTGTCTTGGCTTTCCATGCCTAAAATATTCTCGTGGGCTTTTCAGCCAGATCCGCATGCCTTAAGGGCTTATTCTGAGGGCAGAGTGCTGTTTAGGACATCTGCCATTCTATGAGTCTGCTGTGTATCTCGCTTCCCATGTTGGATCGTTCTCTCCCTTTTTTATTCTATCAGCTAGTATTTGCAGACACTAGTCTTGTTTATGTGATCCCCTTGGCTCTTAGTCCTATCATTATGATCAATTGTGAACAGAAATTGATCACCGGGACTAGTGAGATGGCATTGGTACATGCCACCTTGATGGGACTGAATTGGAATCTCCTGGTATGTTTCTAACTCTACTGTTTGGGGCAAGTCAGCTTGAGCATGTCCCAAATTGCACATCTCTTCCCTCTCTTATTCCCACTCTTATATTTAACAGTGATCACTTCTCAGTTAAGTTTCAACACTTAAGAAGAATGTGTATTGATTACAGTATTCAACCAAAAGTATTAAGTAGAACAAACAAAAAAAAAATACTAAGAGGGATAACATATTAAGTTGTTCATCAACAGTCAGGGCAAGGGCTGATCAAGTCACTGTTTCTCACAGTGTTCATTTCACTTCAACAGGTTTCCTTTTTGGCGCTCGGTTAGTTGTCACCAATCAGGGAGAGCATACGATATTTGTCCCTTTGGGACTGGCTTATTTCACCCAGCATAATGTTTTCCAAATTCCTAACAGGGATCACTTTTCAGTTAAAAATTAAACACCTAAGAATAATTGTGTGTTAATTACAGAGTTCAACCAATAGTACTAGAACAAAAAAATACTAAAATGGATAGAGTATTACATTGTACATAAACAGTCAGGAAAAGAGCTGATCAAGTCACTGTTTCTCATAGTGTCCATTTCACTTCAACAGGTTTCCCCTTTGGTGCTCAGTTAGTTGTCGCTGATCAGGGAGAACATAGGATATTTGTCCCTTTGGGACTGGCTTAGTTCACTCAGCATGTTTTCCAGATTCCTCCATCTTGTTGCAAATGACCGGGTTTCATTGTTTTTGACTGCTGTATAGTATTCTATAGAGTACATGTCCCATAATTTCTTTATCCAGTCTACTGTTGATGGGCATTTGGGTTGGTTCCAGGTCTTAGCTATTGTGAATTGAGCTGCAGTAAACATTAAGGTGCAGACAGCTTGTTTGTTTGCCAATTTCATTTCCTTTAGGTAAATTCCAAGTAGTGGGATGGCTGGGTTGAATGGTAGGGTTATATTCAGGTTTCTGAGGAATCTCCAGACTGACTTCCATAGTGGCTTGACCAGTTTGCATTCCCACCAACAGTGGGTTAGTGTCCCTTTTTCCCCACATCCTCGCCAGCATCTATTGTTGGTAGATTTCTGAATGTGAGCCATTCTAACCGGGGTGAGGTGAAACCTCCTTGTGGTTTTGATTTGCATTTCCCTGATTGCTAGTGATCTTGAACATTTTTTCATGTGTATGTTGGCCATTTGGATTTCCTCTTTTGAAAAATGTCTATTGAGGTACTTGGCCCATCTCTTAAGTGGGTTGCTTGTTTTGATGTTGTGGAGTTTCTTGATTTCTTTGTAAATTCTGGTTATCAACCCTTTATCTGTTGCATAGTTTGCAAATATTTTTTCCCATTCTGTTGGTTGCCTCTTCACTTCCCTGACTGTTTCTTTTGAAGAACAGAAACTTCTCAATTAATTTCATGCAATCCCAAATGTTAATTTTGGCTTTGACTGCCTGTGCTTCTCGGGTGGAAAATGACACTTTCTAAAGCCTTCCACAGACACAGGGATGATAACAAAAGAGAATTATTGAAATATATAGCCTTAAATTATTGAAAAGCTGACATGTTGGCTGCCAAATCTTTTTGCTACATAATCAAATGGAAGTAGATAAGAATTAGTGTATTGTATTTTTAAATTGCACTTTTAAAAGCATAAACTAGCTATTTTAATTTGCAACCTAAATTTCACCTATTCAATTTACAAAATGTAGAATAATCATAGTGACTATAACAAATAGTATGACTATCACATGATAATTATCTTGTGTTCACACCTGTTTTGAATTTTCTAAAATATACAAGACTGTACCTGCCATGTGATTTGGGGATATCCTATAAAGAACAATGTTAATAGTTTCTTTGGATGAAGGTAATAAGCATAAAGTTGTGACAAAAATTTCTGCTTTCTACTTTCAACATTCATGATTTAATGATCAAAACAACTTGCATAAAAGCATACACAGAGAAATTAACTGTAAGAATTGACTAATCAATGTTTCTCTTTGTTACAGAGGAAATTATCCAAATATGCCCCCCTACCAAAAAGGAGCATCCTGTTCTTTGTGTGACAAAAAAGAGAAATGTGTAAAGCACCTCTGCCGTAAGCAAATAATAATTTTAATAAAAATATTCTATTACAAGAATAAAGTTTCCATAAAATCATTACATGCTAAAATTAGGCTCCTCAAGTTTATACTTTTTAGACAAAATTTGACTGCTATATTACAATAATATAAATCATTTGTTATAAATGATCATACTTGAACTTAAATAATCCTTCCTCCTTAAGCTAAGGGAAAGAAAAGAATGAAGTATAACTGTGGATCCACTTTCATGTTACACTCCACATGACTACTGACTTAAATGTCTCTTACTTTTACTTGTTTCCATTCAACTCCTTTTCCTCCTTGTTATTAGAAAAATGACTGATTCAATGTCCAAGAGAATTCTTACTTAAAACATGCTTCTCTTCAAGATATCATTGGCATTTTGGTTCTTAAAGATTCTTTTAAGGGTCAATGTATAAAATTTTGGTGGAAAAAAAGTGAAAATTGTGAATGGAGGAGATGATTATATATATAGTACCATGCAAGGATACCGACACAAAAATAATGTATTTGAAGTTATTGCACTTAAATAACACTCAAAATCAGGCAAATCAATTTGCTTGGAGTCAAGATAGTGATGCCTTTGGAGAAGAAAGAGGAACTAGTGATTGGAAGACACCAAAATGACTTTCTGCATCTCTTCTGCTATTACCTAGATGCGTTCTCCTTGTGGCAATTCATCGTTCTGACCATTATGGGATATGAATTTTTCAATATTCAAATTATATAAAGATCATATAAGAAATATGATCCCTCTAATATCAAATTTAATTCTAAACATTTCTAAATAAACTTATTATTTACTTTCTGTTTCCAAACTAATGATTTCTAGTCAAAGGGATAACAAATAACAATGATGTATCCATTGTTTTCCTTTCCCCTTTCTCCTATTATCCAGTTCACTGTCATTTCTTGCCTGAACCTCCTGGAATCTCTCATACTGTAATTTTTTTATCCATTCATTGAAACACTACCCTTAAGGACTCCAGTTTCTTTTTAAAAACTCCCACATCTAGTTCTAGTTTCAAATTTTTTTTCTTTTGATTTTTTGTCGCTTGGTCTCAGTAATATGCTGGGTTTCTTGATGTGTTGAATTGTCTGTAAAGACAGCTATCCACACAATCCCTCCAACAATATCTCCTATTTCTATTTTTTTTTAAGATTTATTTATTTATTTGAAAAAGTTGGGTCTGGCACTTGGCACAGCAGGTTAACGCCCTGGACTGAAGCACCAGCATCCCATATAGGTATCGGTTCAAGACCCAGCAAATCCACTTCTGATCCAGCTCTTTGCTATGGCCTGGAAAAGCAGTAGAAGATGGCCCAAGTCCTTGGGCTCCTGCACCCGCGTGGGAGACCCAGAAGAAGCTTCTGGCTCCTGGCTTCAATGGGCTTAGCTCCAGCCATTGCAGCCAATTAGGGAGTGAACCATCAGATGGAAGACCTCTCTCTCTCTGCCTCTCCTCTCCCTGTGTAACTCGGACAGACGGACGGACGGATGGAAGGAAGAGTTAGAGAGAGAACGAGAGGCAGAGAGAGAGAGGTCTTCCATCCCCTGGTTCACTACCCAGCTGGCCACAACGACAAGAACTGCGCCAATCCAAAGCCAGGAGCCAGAAGCTTCCATTGGGTCTCCCATGCGGAGTGCAAGAGCCCAAGGATTTGGGCCATCTTCTGCTGCTTTCCCAGGCCATATCAGAGAGCTGGATAGGAAGTAGAGAAGGCAGGACTCGAACTGATGCCCATATGGGATACCGGCACTGTAGGAGGCGGCTTTACCTGCTAAGCCACAGTGTCAGTCCCAGTGCCCCCCATCTCTTACATCATGTCCCTCCTGCCATTCAGTAGTGACTATTTCTACTTCCCTTGGTGTCGTGTCATTTCTGGGCCTAGCCTTTAAGAGACCTGGCAACACTGTCTTTGGCTGTGTGAGAAGCCTCCAATATGTAAAGATATCCATGATCTTCTGCTGGAAAGGCAACTCTGAGAAAACTTCCAGAGGAGACACCATCCTGGTGGTTCAACACCAGCTAAGCTGTAGGTAAATGTAGCCAGGATGTTGACCCGGTTGATACCACATATAGCAATACCCATTAGAGCAAGCCAATCCAGATTATGGAGAGAAGTAATAAATTATCTTTATCATAAACCATTAAATTTTGAAGACTTTTTTTTCACAGCAGATCATGAAATCACGTGGTATAACTAAAAAGTTTGTACTCAACACTTTATGTGTTTAAAACAAAAATGTGGAAGTTTCTACCTTTTCCTCTGCCAAGTACATAAGAGTCAGGGTTGTTCACCTCAGTCCAAAGTGTAGTCATGGCTGAATTTGAATTATGGAAAGCTTAATCTATCCGCAGCCCTGCACAAAACCTATACACCTTCCCAGGTTTCCTGTGACATCCTGGTGTGCTCAGTGGTAGCCCTTCCCTGGTCAGTTTTGAACTCCATCCTTACTGCCTAGCCCTCGGAAATTGCTGAAAATTTTGCTTTGCTTTCTAGAACATTTCAGTCTTTTTAAATTTCTCATAGTTTCAAAACTAACCAAATAACTTTAGCTCAAAGCCCACCTCTTCCTCTTTCCTGGATCTTGATCTCTCATCATCTGAAAGGCCACCAAAATTGGTACTAGATACTCTGCTTCCCAAAAATCAGCCTTCACCTGGGCACAGCACAGAGTTTCAGCCTCAGACCTGGCCCCACTGGAAAAGCAGCTTTCATAATATTAGCTGACCTTTTTCTAAGGACCTCCTGCTCTGGAATGTTGACCCCTGCCAGTCTTTTGGATTAGCGAGTCTCTAATACTCCTAAGCAATGTTTAGTGGTACTTTATTGGGATTTTGAAGTTGTGTTTAATGAGATATTTTTCCTGTTACAAACTATTTCATCCAAGAGATTTAAGCAACCAGTGCCCATGGACTCTAAAAAAGCACCACATCTGCTACAAAGGCTACAGTGAGCTTTGATACCAAAGTGGAAGTGTTTTCCCAACTTGTTCTTTTTGCAAATTATTCAGAGCATTTGGTTATTCTTGGCCCTTTGGTCTTACACATTAATTTTACAATAAATATATCAATTCCACAAATGATCTTGTTGGAATCTGGTCAGGGTAATATTGAACTCATAGATAAATTTGGGAAGAATTAATATTTTTACAACATTGACTATTACAGCAATGAAAATGGTTTACTGAGGTCTTTTTAATTGTTTTACACTTAAGCATTGAAATTTCCTCAGTAGAGACCAGCGCCGCAGCTCACTAGGCTAATTCTCTGCCTGCAGCGCCAGCACACCGGGCTCTAGTCCCGGTTGGTACGCCAGATTCTGTCCCGGTTGCTTTTCTTCCAAGCCAGCTCTCTGCTGTGGCCCGGGAGTGCAGTGGAGGATGGCCTAAGTGCTTGGGCCATGTACCCATGGGAGACCAGGAGAAGCACCTGGCTCCTGGATTCAGATCAGCACGATGCGCCAGCCACAGCGCGCCAGCCGCGGCGGCCATTGGAGGATGAACCAACGGCAAAGGAAGACCTTTCTCTCTCTCTGTCTCACTGTCCACTCTGCCTGTCAAAAGAAAGAAAGAAAGAAAGAAAGAAAGAAAGAAGGAAGGAAGGAAGGAAGGAAGGAAGGAAGGAAGGAAGGAAGGAAGGAAGGAAGGAAGGAAGGAAAGAAAGAAAGAAAGAAAGAAAGAAAGAAAGAAAGAAAGAAAGAAAGAAAGAAAGAAAGAAAGAAAGAAAGAAATTTTCTCAGTAGAAACCTTGCACAGGAGATTCTTGGTAACATGTACTTCTTGTTATTATACATATTTAAAATTTCATTTACAAATTAATTTTGCTGATTTATTAAAATATTAATGTTTCTGTCTTATTAGTCTGCTATCCAAGGAATCTTACCAAACTTTATTATTTCTAATAGTTTATTTTCTATAAGGACAATCATGTTATTTCTTTAAAAAACTGCAAGTTTTGATCTTTCTGCTAATCTTTATATCCATTATTTATTTCGCTTCTAATAACAGACAATTTTTTTTTTTTTTTGGCAGGCAGAGTGGACAGTGAGAGAGAGACAGAGAGAAAGGTCTTCCTTTTCCGTTGGTTCACCCCGCAATGGCCGCTGCGGCCAGCGCACCGCAGCTGATCCGAAGCCAGGAGCCAGGTGCTTCTCCTGGTCTCCCATGCGGGTACAGGGCCCAAGCACTTGGGCCATCCTCCACTGCACTCCCAGGCCACAGCAGAGAGCTGGCCTGGAAGAGGAGCAACCGGGACAGAATCCGGCGCCCCAGCCGGGACTAGAACCAGGAGTGCCAGCACCACAGTCGGAGGATTAGCCTATTGAGCTATGGCAGCGCCGGCCAATAACAGACAATTTATCAAGTGGTTTCAGCCTGCCTTACCCTGATCACTGCAGTTATTTGGGGAGTGAACCAGAGAATGGAAGACCTCTCCCTCTCCCTCTCTCTCTCTGTCTCTCCCCCCACCTTCTGTAACTGCCTTCCAAATAAATGTATCTTTTTAAAAAATAAGATTTCTAATGCAACCCAGTCATATGTAAAATTTCAAAACATATTGGGAGTTAAGTAACGCCCCAGTAATCCAATAGTAGGCTATTCTTTCATTCTTTTGGTAAAGTCAACTTGGTCATAAGGTTTCCTTTATAAATGGTAAGCTTCTTGTTGACTTTTTATTTGTAATTTTGGCATTTAACTTTAGAATTATGGTTGGCTGATAATTTTCTTTTTTTACCTCTCCATACATGATTTTGAATTTAAGACTGTAGGGTTGTAGCAGCCTCATAAAAGAAGTTGGAAGTTGGGAATACTGCTTCCTTTTATATTTGGTTATGGTTAGTGTAAGATTCTGATTCTATCATTTTTGAATGATTGAGAGACAGTCTCTGTACACCTACTTTATCATATGTGTAGGGGTGGATGAGTTCACATGCTATGTCTTATTAGTCTGCTATGTGTCAATGTATTTTAACTGGCTGATTTAATTTCTTCAATGGTAATGTGATATTCAGGTCTAAGGAAAATCCTACCAAATTTTCTGTTATACAAGTTTTAATGAAATTCTTTTATAATTTTATTTCTGCTGTGTTTGCAGTTATATTCCACTTAAGTCCTTTGACTTTTAACTTGTGTTATTCTCTCTTTCTCTTTTTTTTTTTTTTTGATTGTCTTTATAAAAACATTTTTTTAGTGGATGAGTTCCTTTCCTGAGACACCAGAGACATAGCTTGGTGGTGACATATCCAGGCCTTAGAATCAGATGGCTTAACTCAAGAAAATATTAAGAGGGTTAAATACAAGACCAGCACTGTGGAATAGTGGGCTAAGCCTTCACCTGCAGAGCTGGAATACCAATGGGTACCAGTTCAAGTCCCGGCTGCTCCACTTCCAATTCAGCTCTCTACTATGGCCTGAGAAGGCAGTAGATGAAGGTTCAAGTGCTTGGGCCCCAGCATCTGCATGGGAGACCCAGAATAAAAAAAACTCCTAGCTCCTGGCTTTGGATCAGCTCAGTTCCAGCTTTTGTGGCCATTTGGGGAGTGAACCAGCAGATGGAAAGACCTTTCTCTCTGTCTCTCTCTCTCTCTCTCTGTTAACTCTACCTCTCAAATAAATAAATAAAACCCTTAAAAAAAAAAAAGGATTAGGGGCTGGCACTGTGGCTCAGTGGGTTAACGCCCTGGCCTGAAGTGCCAGCATCCCATATGGGCACCGGTTCTAGTCCCGGCTGCTCCTCTTCTAACCCAGCTCTCTGCTGTGGCCTGGGAAGGCAGTGGAGGATGGTCCATGTCCTTGGGCCCCTGTACCTGCATGGAAGACCTGGAAGAAGCTCCTGGCTCCTGGCTTCAGATAGACACAGCTTGGACCATGCGGCCATCTGGGGAGTGAACCATAGGACAGAAGACCTCTCTCTCTCTCTCTCTCTCTCTGCCTTTCCTCTCTCTGTGTAGCTCTGACTTTCAAATAAATAAGTAAATCTTTAAAAATAAGAGGATTAAATACAATAAGCCAAATAAAGTAGTTTCAGCCATATATAAAATTTCAGTAAATTTTAGCTATTATTATAATTAAGTTCCTCATTATTGTCTATCATTTGATCCAGTTTATATTTTTCCTGGGCTTACCATTCTTTGTAAATATCACATTTTTAATTAATTAATTTAACTTTAAAAGTAATGATAGATTCCCCATGCCTTTGCTATAATAAAAGTCTTAATTTTTTTCCTTACAGTTGTTATATCCAAGCTCTATATCATGCTCTCTACATAAAAAATGATAATATGTACATAAGTATATATATAAATCAATGAGATAACAAATTTCTAACAAAACAGAGGATCCTATTACAATAGTGAACTAGGAAGAAAAATTTGTGGAAAACATGGGGCAAAATTTAGAACAGTGATCATTAAAGAAATGAATGAAATATTTAATGGAGGATTCTGGGTACCCAAAATTCCACAAGAGGGAATTACATTTTTTTCAAGGACGTGAATTGAGCATGGTAGAGTGCCATAAATAAAGTGTTACTTTATATTTTTCCATATTTTATACTTTCAATACAACAGAAATTCTAGAAATATTTGTTGACATATGATAGAGAGCAGCAGAAAGACTTTTAAGAGCTATGGTGTTTCAGTAAGATGCTTTCATTTTCTTAAAAGTTCAAATTATCCTAAATTGACTTGTCATATTCTAAAATCCCAGAAAAAATCAATTTTTTCATTTTATAAGTTCAACTTTTTTAAATTTAGAAATGCAAGAAACTGTTCCACCTGAAACTACACCTACCACTACTACCAGGAAGACAAAGATGAGCACAAAGATGACGACGACGACGACGACAACAACGACGACAACTACCACCACTACCACTACCACCACCACCACCACCACCACTCCCCGTACTACTAAAAAGAAAATTACACTTATCTGTATGTATCAAAATATTTCAGTATTCATTTCAATATTTATTCTCCTTGAAACTAAATTGAGCATTGTGTTTTATTGACAGATTATCCACATGGAAAGCCAACAGTGGCCAGAGCACCTCATGTGATTGCATGTAATCTACTGAGCCTCAGCTTTCTTCTCCAGAGAATCTTTTAATAAGACAATAAAGGAACAATTTATGACTAAATATCACTCATCATCAATTTAATTCTCCATTAAAGTTTCTATACTAGTGTATCTAAATGTAATGTCTTACATGTAAAGATAATGCTTTTGATTCAAAAGATACAGTGTGGAAGAATATTAAACACTGAAGTCTTAAAGTGTTTTTTTTTAAAGATTTATTTTATTTATTTGAAAACAGAGTTACAGAGAGAGGTAGAGCCAGAATGAGAGAGAGAGGTCTTCTATCCACTGTTTCACTCCCCAAATGGCCGCAACAGCCAGAGCTGAGCTGATCCAAAGCCAAGAGCCAGGAGCTTCCTCCGGGTCTTCCACAAAGGTGCAGGGGCCCAAGGACTTGGGCCATCTTCTATTGCTTTCCCAGGCAATAGTGGAGAGCTGGATTGGAAGTGGAGCTGCTGGCTCCCATATGGATTGTTGGTGCTGCAGGCCAGGGCTTTAACCTGCTGCACCACAGCACTGGCCCCTTAAGGTTATTTTTGAAGACAATAATTTAGAGTCCCAGGGCCAGCACTGTAGCATAGAGGGTAAAGTTTCTACCTGTGGTGCCTGCATTCCATATGGGAGCAGGATCAAGTCTTGGCTGTTCCGCTTCCTATCCAGCTCTCTGCTATGGCCAGGGAAAGCAGTAGAAGATGGACCAAGTTCTTGGGCCCCTGTATCCACATGGGAGACCTGGAAGAAGCTCCTGGCTCCTGGCTTTGGTTCGGCCCAGCTCCAGCCATTGCAAACATTTGGGGAGTGAACAAGTAAATGGAAGAACTCTCTGTCTCTCGCTCACTCGCTCGCTCTCGCTCTCTTTCTCTGTCTTCCTCTGCCTCTCTGTAACTCTGCCTTTCCAATAAATAAATAAATCTAAAAAAAGAGTCCCAGTCTCCAATTTTATACTAAGAATGTGTTGTCACTTTAGATTTAAGAAACTAAACCTATTTCAAATATTACTTTCCTTATATTCCAATAGTTTCCTTTAACTATCATTAATATCATACAGAAACAAAATGTTATTGAGGTAAGTTTATAGAGTATATAACATGGTTGTGATCAATGGGCAATAAATTAGGGATAAACCTCAAAAAGGAAAGTCATCTAAGTTTAGAAGCTTTGAAATGTTAAATATGCTCATAGAATTGAAATTACATTCTTTTAGGAGATTTTATTTTAAAATGTGCCTGCTATCACATGATGCAAAAAGTATACCTCTTTTTTTTAAGATTTATTTTATTTATTTGAAAGACAGAGTTACAGAGAAAGGTAGAGACAGAGAGAAAAGTCTTCCATCCACTGGTTTACTCCCCTGTTGGCCAAAACAGCAGGAGCTGGGCCAATCTGATGCAAGGAGCCAAGAGCTTCCTCCGAGTCTCCCACAAAGGTGCAGGGGCCCAAGGACTTGGGTCATCTTCTACTGCTTTCCCAGGCCATAGCAGAGAGCTGGATCAAAAGTGCAGCAGAGGGACTAGAACCAGAGCCCATTGGGATGCCAGCGCTTCAGGCCAGGGCTTTAACCCGCTGGGCCACAGCGCCGGCCCTAGAAGTATACCTCTTAAAAGCTATAAAATTATCTGTAGTATAGCTAACATCATCTTTACAAACCAAAGAATTACTCAATTCTGGCATTTCTTCTGGATAAAGAAAAGATAAAGCATTATTCAATTTTAAATATTTATTTTCATAGTAGCTTTTTGTATGGCAATGATGAACTCATAGAAAGAGAAATCAAAAAAGAAATCTCATTCATAATAGCTACAAAAAGATCAAATATTTAGGAATAAACTTAACCAAAGAAATGAGAGTTCTATGATGAAAATTATCAAACACTGATGAAAGAAATCATCAAGGACACAAAAAATGGAAAGATATTCCCTGCTCATGGTTTGGAAGAAGCAATATCATTAAAATGTCTATATGACCTGAAGCAATCTATAGATTCAAGGCAATCCCTATTAAAATACCAATGACATTCTTTACAGAATTAGAAAAAGCAATCCCAAAAATGATATGTTATAACGAAAGACTCAGAATAGCTAAATCACCCTGAATAAAAAAATTAATCTGGAGATATCACCACACCTGACTTCAAAGCATATTATAAGGCTATAATAACTAAAACAGCATGATACTGGCATAAAAATTGATACACAGATCAATGGACCAGAATGGAGGGCCCAGAAATTAATCCACATATATATATAGCCAACTGATTTTTCACAAAAGTGCTTAGAATATATAGTGGTGTAAAGATAACCTTGCCAACAAATGGTGCTTGCAAACCTGGATATATACATGTAGAAAAATGAAATTAGATCCATAGCTCTTACCACATAAAAAAATCAACTCAGATTCCAAAATGGCTGAATAGAAAAAAGACATGCTGATTTTGACAAGGAGAAGATAGATGAAGAAAAATGGAGAGAGTGTGTTCCCAGAGAGGGGCTGGAGAGAAGTTTACAGCAGAAATTCTGCAGAAAGGAGAGGGACACCATGTAGCATCATGGAAAGAACAGATGTGCAGCAGTGAGCAGAGACACCATCCATGACTCCTGCAGTGAGGGGTCTCCACCTAGAGAGAGCTAGGTGAGGGCAAACTATGGCAGCCTACACCACTGGTGAAAATGCATGAGCAAGAACTTTGCAGACCATGCTGACTTTGAGTCCATCCTGGAGCTCTAGCAGGGACAGGATATCCACCAAATCCAGTGAAGGAAAAAGCACATTTCTTTAGGGAAAAATATTCACATTTCCCACTGATTTTGAGTCTGTCTGAGAGGGCTGACATGTGGCGGGGCGAGCACTTAGGATTCTGAGGTGCACCCATTCTCCTAACCTATCATGGGCTCCAGGGCTCAAACTGACAAAGTAGAGCACACACAGGAAGCTTGCTCTGGAAATGACTCAGCTCTCTCCGTGGACAGGGCAGGCTCATGGAGCAGAGAGAGAATCTTCTGTAACCCTGGAACTGTGGGAATCCTGTGACTGCACAATAAGGTGTAATGTGTACCTGGTTCTCTGGGCAATCACTCTGTCTGGTGTCAGAAGTTCAGAGCTCCCTGACTGCCTGGAATCACTGCATAGGGTTCCATGCTCACACTGAAGACTGCACACTTTTGTGTGGTTCATGCTCCAGTGTGGATGAGGGGTGTAGCTACTGTGGGCTAACCCCAAGTCGTGATCACCTAGGAAGAGAGGAGGGAAGGGGGTGATTATGACAACAGGTGTGATCATACCCTCCCACTGGCTGGCAAGAGGAGATCTACTGTATAAATAAGAGAGGGAAGAGGTAGGGAGGTGGAAGCATAGAAAAGAGGGTAAGCATGGTGGGAAGAATCACCATGTTCCTAAAGATGTCACTGTGAAACGTATGAGGCTTGCAACTGCAAAACTGTATAGTTCTTAATACATTTATATGGACTTAGTTCTAAGGGTACACTTTAAAAACTTACCCCTTAAGCTGGGTGGTAAAATAGCACTTTGAGTGTTAGAGTGAGCATGGGGATAGGATTAAGCGATAAAAGTGATCATATAAGGTAGGATTAAGTGTTAAAGTGATCATATAAATAGGACTAAATGTTTGACAATAATAACAGAAAATATTGGAGAAAGAACTGTGGCATAGCAGGTAAACCCACCACCTGTAGTGCCAGCATCCCATATGGTTGCTGGTTTTAGTCCTGGCTGCTCCTCATCCAATCCAGCTCTCTGCTATAGCCTGGGAAAGCAGTAGAAGATGCTCCAAGGCCTTGGGGCCCTGTACCCATTTGGGAGACCAAGAAGAAGCTCCTGGCTCCTGGCTTAGATCTGATCAGCCCAGCTCTGGCCTTTGTGGCCATTTGGGTAGCGAACCAGCAGATAGAAGACTTTATCTCTCTCTCTCTCTCTCTGTCTCTCTCTCTGCCTCAGTGTAACTTTACCTTTCAAATAAATAAAATAAATCTTTAAAAAATAGACAATTAAAAAAAAGTAAATGCTCCAACATGGGAAGCAGTCAATACAGCAGACTCATAGAATAACAATCGCTTTAAATAACACTCTGACCTCAGAATCAGTCCTTAAGGCATTCTGGTCTGGCTGAAAAGCCCGTGAGCACATTTCTGGCATAGAAAGCCATGACACTGTGGCAACCAGTGACCCACATGAAGGACCTTGATGGATGAGACCCCAACAGAAAGAAGTGGTCAACAAAGAAGGATGTACTTTACTCTAAAGGGAGGAAAGAACTTCCACTTTGCTCATGGCCTTGTCTACACACAGAAGGAGTCAGTGGATTCAAAAGGCTTCCATACATAGCCTAAGCAGCTTGATGTCATAATAAGAGTGTTAATTGTTAAATTAACAAAAGGAGTCACTGCGCACTAACTTCTCATGCAGGACCTCTGTCCTCAATGAGTTGAATTATGAGAGTTAATAGAACTTGTTCTCAAAGATTTACTTTGTTTTAGTGTATTAAGTAGAGGATATTCTTATGGCTCATAAGCTATAGTTATGTCTAAGTGCTCACAAAAGATGTATCATTCTTGGGGTCTTCTTCAAAGTTAATTTTCTCAAATAAAAGAATGCTTAAAAATAATGTATATATAAATTAAACCTCAGAAAGATTTACTTTTATTAAATAATTTTCCTTATTGTAAAAATAATATTATAAAAATAATCTTTCTGGTTTCATTAGGGTAACAACAGTTAACAATAACATATTGTATATTTCTAAATAGCTAGAAGAAAGACTTGTGAATGTTCACAAAGAAATCTTGGGCGAGGATGTGGCGGGAAAGGCACCCTAAACCACTGTTTGTGGGAATGCAAACTGGTAAAATCACTATGGAAGACAGTTTGGAGATACCTCAGAAATCTGAATATGGTCTTACCATACAACCCAGCCATCCCACTCCTTGGAATGTACTCAAGGGAAATGAAATCAGCAAATAAAAGAGTTATCTGCATCGCCATGTTTATTGCAGCTCAATTCACAATAGCTAAGAAATGCAATCAACCTAAATGCCTGTCAACAGAAAACTCTGGATAAAGAAATTATGGGATATGTACTCTTTGGAATACTACACAGTGGTGAAAAACAAACAATGAAATCTGATCATTTGCAATAAGATGGAGGAATCTGGAAAACATCATACTTACTGAAATAAGCCAGTCCCAAAGGGGTAAATATCATATGTTCTCCCAGATCCTTGACAACTAAAAAAAGCACCTAAAAGGACAACTAACAGAGCACGTAAACGTGAAACTGACATTATGAAAAGCAATGACTTGAATAGCCCTTGTCTTGACTGTCAAGAAACAGTTTTATTATTTATTTTACTATTTTCTTTTTAAACTTAATATCATTGGTTGAACTCTTTAATTAACAAAGAATTATTCTTAGGTGTTTAATTCCAATTGAAAATTGATCCCTGTTAAAAATAAGAGTGGAAATAAGAGAGAGAGAAGACGTACAGTTTGGCATATGTTCCAATGGACTTACCCCTAACGGTAAAGCTAAAAATTTGCCACTTTTTATATACCAACAATGAATAAGTAAAATTTAAAATTAAGAACACAATACCACTTACATTACAATTTAAAAAGAAATATCCAAGGATAAACTTAACAAAATAGATCTTTATAGGGAAAACAACAAAGTTCTGATGGAAGAAATCCAATAACTAAATAAATGAACAGATTATTCTTTTGTCAGACTCCTATGTAAGGCTATATTTTCTTAAGAAATCAGCATTGCTATCATGATCTATATTCAATGTACTCTCAGTCAGAAACCCAGCATGTTGTAGGTATTAACAAACTATTTCTAAAAATTTTCTAGAGAGGCAAAAGACTCAGAATAGCAAGACAATAAAAAGTAAAACTGAGTTGTAGAACTGAAGCTACTCAACTTTAATGTTTACTATAAAGCTACAGGATTCAACACAGAGAAAGGATAGAAAGATAGATCAGTGGAACACACCAGAGAGTTCAGAAGCAGAATCACACAGTCAACCGATCTTTTGCCAAGGAACAAAGCCAATACGATGGAGCAAAGAGTCAACAAACATTGCTGGAACAACCAAGCACCCACATTCAGAAAGATATTCTAGACACAGACCTTAAACTTTCACAAAAAATTAACTCAAAATGTATCATAAATCTAAATGTAAATGCAAAACTATAAATTCCTACAAGATCATATGAGAAAATCAAGAACTTGAATTTGGCAATGACTTTCCAAATATGACATAAAAAAATGATCCATGAAAGAATTAAGAAGCTGAAGTTCATTCAAATTAAAAACTTCTGGTCTGCAAGAGACATGGTCAAGAGAATGAAAAGATACACCATAGACTGGGAGGATATACTTTAAATACATATTCAATAAACAACTACTACTCAAAATACATTAAGAATTCTTAATACTCAATAATAAATGTTTAAAACAGTCAATTTAGAACATAAGCCAAAAACAGTCCATTTAGAAAATAAGCCAAATAGGCCAGCATTGTGGCACAACAAGTTAAGCCATCACTTGTGACAGTCGCATCCCATATCTGAGCTCTGGTTTGAAAAGTCCTGGCTACTCCACTTCTGATCCCACTCCCTGATAATGCTCCTGGGAAAGCAGATCATGGTCCAAACACTTGGATGCCTGTCACACAGATGGGAGACCCAGATGGAGTTCCTGGCCCAACCCCCAAAAAAGTGGCCATTTGTGGAGTGAACCAGCAGTTACAAGATCTCATTCTCTCTCTCTCTCCCTCTTACTCTCCCTCTTTCTCCTTGTCACTATTAATTTCAAATAAATAAATCTTTAAAAACAAAAATAAAAATAGAATAGCATTCTTTACTCTGTATTGTAATTATGTGATAATTCATTTGTAACACTTTTAACTTAAAGCCTCCTGTGGATAAACTCCATGTCTAGCTTGTTTGGCATTTGTAGCTCTAGGTTCTAGCATGGGCTCTAACACATAGGAGATACTAAAGGAATAGGTATTAAGTTAATGAGTGAGATGTTTAGCAACGGAATGGACTGCCCAGGAGATTGTGACTTTCCTATTAAAATTATTTAAGAAGACAATGTGCTAATCACAAGTCAGAGATGTGTCAGGGAATAGATCTAATACATGAGGATAATGACAATATATAAAATTAGTTCCAAATTTAAAATTACATTATTCTGATTATCCTTGAAAACAAAGTCTGTGCCTTGTCTACTGGTCTTTCTCAACTACCTAACACAATGCCTCCTACTACCAGGATACTTCATAAAAATAATGGAAAGTACTCATTATCCTTTAATTCCATTTCCACATGAATTCATATGTACTAAAAAGAATAAAGGCATAAAAGAAATAATCTTGCAACTATCTTCTGCTTGTCAACTGTATGCATTAAAGGTGACTTTTTTTAAAAGGTGATTTTCTATGATTGTTAAAAAATGTTTACTTATTTATTCATTTCCTTATTTGAAAGGCAGAGAGAGTAATAGAGAGCAAGAGACAAAAAGAGAGATTGACCTTCCATCCGTTTTCACTCCCCAAAAGGCTACAACAGCCACGGCTAGGCCAGGCTGAAGCTAGAAGCAAAGAACTCCATGTCAGGGGCCCAAGTACTTGAGCCATCTTTCACTGTCTTCCCAGGTGCATTACAGGGAGCTGCATTAGAAGAGGAACATCCCAGACTCAAACTAGCACTCTGATATAGGATGCTCATAAAAAAGCAGATTAATCAACTGCACACAAGGCTGGCAGCAAAGATGACTTATTGAAGCATTTTTATTTTAGATAGTTTTGGTCTACCAGTTACAATGCTTTCTTTATGGAAAAATACTGCTTCAATGTCAATGATTTTGAATAGATCTTAATGCTAATAAGCACAATTGCAATATTCAAATGTGTACCCCAACACAAGTATGTGTTTTGTATTTCATGATTAGAAATTAAAAAGTTTACAAACAAGTTTTTCTTGAGCAAAATGTTTGGTAAAAAGACCAGGAAAATTTTTTTAGGACACTAGTCATTTTAGTCTGAAGGAAAAAAATGAAAACAAAAATGTTAATGCAAGGATTCATGAAGGGAAAAGGTGAATAATGATCATTCAAGGCATTCATATGTCACTCATGAAAAACACAGCAATATTTTAACCTTGTGAGAGTTTAAACCCAACCACCACCACCATGAGCTTCTCATGCTTCATTTGTTGTTTGGTTTCACACAAAAATTCATTAAAAAACGGAGAGGGCTGGGTGTTTTCCCTAGCAGTTAAAATTCCCCAAAAACCATATCGGAGCACCTGGATTTATATCCAGGTTCTGGCTCCTAACTCCAGCCTGCTGGTAATGCAAATTCTGAAATACAGTTGAGATGGCTCAAACGGTTGGTTTCCTGACACCATTATGAGAGACCTGAACTGATTTCCTGGCTCCCAGCTTCAGCTTCTGCCCATCCTGGGGTATCTGGCAGGTGAATCCGAAGATGGGAGTTCTCTCTCTCTGTCTCCCTCCCTCTCAAAGGAAGAAGGAAGAGGAGAAGGAGGAGGGAGGGGAAGAAACAGAAGAGAAAAACATCTCAAGGAGGAAGTTAAACAGAGTATTTTTCTATGGGAGAGGAAAAAAAGGCACATCCTGCACCAAATTCCCAACTGAACTGGTAAGGAAAAAAAACAAAAATGAACTGAATTTATAATCAATGTCATTGGAGAATGATTATTTCCTCTTGCATAATTATAAGGTGCCTCAGACACCAGCATTTACTGTGCAAATGATAGCTCATCAGTAAATGACACATCCTTTCGTGTCAGAAATGACTCTGCATAATGTTTACCTACGTTACTTTGGTGAAAAGCTCAAATTCATCTAACTAAGTCTCTTTAGTTTGTTCCACACACATTCATTGCCACTTACCCAGCCTGGAATTTCCTCCTCCCACCGGCTCCCTCCTCCCCACTTCCTTTTCCGGGGGAGGCGCCTACAGGGTTTCCCTGCACCGCCCCTTAGATTGGCAGGTCACAGGGGCGTGTCTGCGCGTGCGCACTGGCCTTTCCTTGGCCAGGCACCATGGAGGCTCCGAGGCCCTTTGGCGGGGAGTGGTGCTCCTACTCGCTTCCCCTGGCTCTAGGGGGCGTTTTGAAGCTGTGGCTCTGTGAGCTGTGGCTCCTGCTGTTGGGTTCGAGTGTGAACGGAACGTTTTTACCACACGAAGAGGACGTAGACTTCATCAATGAGTACTTGGAGCTTCACAATGAGATCCGGGGCAACGTCGTCCCCCGAGGGGCCAACTTACGCTTCATGGTGAGGCCAAAGGCGGTGTCCACGACCCGCTCCCACGAGCCTTGTCACCAGGAGGGCCTTGGCTCACGAACGCCTGGGTCACTGCTCGAGGCATGAGTACTGCCGAGAAGGGCGACTTTAGTTCAGGCTGAGAACAGTTTGTGCACTTGAGAAAAAATCCTCACACCTTGATTCTGTGCAGGACCCGGAGTAAGGTGAATTATCTACTTGAAAGGAAGAGCAACTGAGAGAGAGGAAGGGGTAAAGACAGAGAGAAACAGAGATATCTTCCATCCTAGCTCTCTCCCCAAGTGTAACCAATAGCTAAGTCTGGGTCAGGCCAAAGTCAGGAGGCTCTAACAGGTAGGTCTCCCTCATGGGAGGCAGAGGTCCAGCAGTTGAGCCATCTGCCACTACCTTCTCAGGAGCATCACCAGGAAGCTGGACTAGACGCTGATCAGCCAGGACACGAACCAGAGCTCAAACATGTGACCCTGGAGTAATAGGTGGGGACTTAACCAGCTGCACCACAATGCTGGCCCTGTTATTTTGTTTTTAAACACCAAAAACATTTAACTGTATGAAATATACACAACATAAACTTCATTACTTTAACCATTTTAACATTATTACATTCACACTGTTGTACAATGATCACCATTACCCATCTCCAGAAAATCTTTTATGTACCCTAACTGAAACGCCATACAATTAAGCACCATGTCATTAAGCTCCATACCTGTCAAATAATGACTCCCCCTATCTCCCCTTCCTCCTGTACCTGGGTACTAGCATTCCATTTTGTTTTTAAACACCAAAGACATTAATGTATGAAATATACACAACATAAACTTCATGACTTTAACCATTTTTAAATATCAGTTCCATGGAATTAATGCATTCATATTGTATGTATGAGTGACTACTCAAGGTAACTCATAAATGACATTATACCATATTTATATTTGTGACTGGATTATTTAACAGCATAACGTTTAAAAAGTACATCCATATTGTAGAATGTATTAGAATTTTCATCTTTTTCAAAACTGCATATTATTCCATTGTGTGTATATGTCATATTTTTAAATTCATTCATCTGTCAGTGGACATTTGGGTTGCTTCCACATTTTGGTTACTGGGAATAATAACTGTCAACTTGTGTGCAAATAACAACTTGTGTAACAATAGCAAAATTCTTGCTTTTGCTACGTCTAAGTATATAGCCAAAACTAGAATTGCAGTTCTCTCATATGGATGGCAAGTATTCAACTGCTGCCTTCCAGAGTACCCGAGTAGAGCCAGAACTCAAATCCAGGAATTGTGATATGGGATGCAGGTGTCCCAACTGATACCATAACCACTAGGTCAAACATTCACCTCTATGTTTAATTTTTCAAAGAACTGCCATTCTGTTTCCTGCAGTGGCCACCTCTTTACCACTAGGAATGCAGTTTTCAAATTTCTCTACCTTTTAGCTAATGCCTGTTATTTTCTGGTTTTCTGATAAAAGCCACCTAGTGGTTGTGAAGTGATATCTCATGGTGGTTTAATGAATAATGATGTTAACCATCTTTTCATATGCTTGTTGTACCGTTGTTTATCTACTTTTTCTTCACCCATTTTTGTTAGCGTGTTAATATTTTGTTGTTGAATTATAGAAATGTTTATGTATATTTTGAATTTAATACATATCAAATAGAGGATTTGCACATATTCGCTCCATTCTGTAAGCTGTCTTTTTGCATTCAATGGACAAAATATTTTATCTTTGATGAATTCTAATTTATTTTTCCTTGTTGTCTTTGCTTTAGGTATCATATCTAAGAAATCACTGCCAACTTCAGTATCATAAAACATCATCATTTGTCGAAAAGACAATTACTTTTATGAACAAAATCATTTTCTCATAAATGCAAGGATTTATTTCTGATTCTCGGTTCTACTCCATAATTTGCATGTCTTATACCACACAGTTTGATAAGTATACTTTTGTGATGCACCTAATTTCTCCTTCCAAGCTTGTTCTTAAAGAAACTTGATCCCTTCCAATTTTTTTCTTTTTCCAGACTATTTTTTTGCCACTTATGTTCTGTTGAGATTCTGTTTGAATTTTTAAATTTAAATTTCTGCAGAAAACATCATGGAGATTTTTTTGACAGGAGTTGCATTGGTTTTTCAAGCATTTTGGTAGTATAGACATCTTAGTAAGATTAAATTATCCAATCCATGAATATAGCATGTGTTAGGACTTGTTACTATCTTCTTGAATTTCTTTAGTAATGTTTTATAGTTTCAGTATGCAAGTCTTTCCTCTTTGGTTAAGTTTATTCCTAAGTACTTTATTATTTTTGAGGCTATTGTGGTGGACTCACTTATCTAATATTTTGTTTGTGTTGATTTTTCAACCTGCTACTTTGAATGAATTTGTTTATTGATTTTAATTGTTTTTTGTGGAATATTTAGGTTTTTCTACAAGTTAGATTCCTGTCATGTGTGAATTAGTATAATTTTACTTCTTTGTTTCCAGTTGGGATACGTTTTATTTCTCTTTCTTGCCTGATTGCTCTGACTGAGATTTCTGATCCTGTGCTAATTAAAAATAGCTAAATGGCATTATTGTCTTGCCTTCGATTTTAGGGGAAAAGCCGTAAATTGTTTACTGTTAAATATGATAACAGCTATGAATTTTTCACATTTGGCTCTCTTTATGTTGAGGTAATATTCTTCCATTCTAGTTTGTTAGATGTTTTTATCATGAAAGAATGTTGGGCCTTGTTAAATACTCTTTCTGATCTGTTAAAATTATATGAAATTTTCTTACATCATATTAATGTGGTTTATCTCATTTATTGATTTTCATATGTTAAACCATCCATGCATCACAGGAATAAGTCTCACATGGTTATGATAATCCTTCTAAAATGTTTATTGGTTTAGCTTTTTATATTTTTCTAAGCTTTTTGCATCAATATTCATAAAGGATATTGATCTGTAGGTTTATTTTCTTGTGTCTTTGTCTGGTTCAGATATCAGGGTAATTCTGGCTTTATAGAATGAGTTGGGAAGTGTTCTTTTTCTTTTTCTTTTTTTTTTTTTTTGAAATATTTTGAGAATTAATGTTAATTGTTTATTTTTAAAAATGAGAGAGAGAGAGAGAGATCAATCTCCTATCCACTGGTTTACTCCCCAAATGCTGGCATCAGCTGGGGCTGGGCCAGGCTGAAGACAGGAGCCAGAGAACTCAATCTACATTGGTAGCAGGAATTTAACCATTTAAGTCATCATTTGCTACCTTTCAAGGTGTGTTAATAGCTGGAAGCTGGATTTAGGAGCAGACTCAAGACTTGAGCACCAAGCATCCCAAGTAGTGTCTTAGTTAGCCAAATGCCCACCCCAGTTATTTCTTAATGTTGCATAAAATTCACCAATTAAGCCATCTGGTCTTTAGGTCTTTCTTTACCAATAGAATGTTATTACTGATTCTGTCTTCTTAGTAGTTATAGGTCTGTTTAGATTTGCTGTGTCTTCATGATTTAGCCTTGGTAGTTCACATGTTTCTAGAAATGTATCCATTTCATCAAAGTTATCCACTTTTTTGGCCTACATTTGTTACATTAGCATTCTCTAATAATCCTTATTATTTCTTTCTTTTAAAAGATGTATTTATTTGAAAGTCAGAGTTACAGAGAGGGAGAAGGAAGAGACTCACAGAGAAAGAGTTATCTTCCATCTGCTGGTTCACTCCCCATGTCGCCACAAAACCAAGAATGAGTCAGGCCAGGAGTCAAGAGCCAGGAGTTTCATGGGTGGCAGAGACCCAAGCACTTGGGCCAAGTTCTGCTGATTTCCCCAAGCCATTAGCAGGGAGCTAGATTGATAGTGGAGCAGCTGGACTCAAGCCAGCACCCATAAGATATAAGCATTACAGTTACCAGCTCAACTCACTGCACTACAATATTAGCACCACAATCCCTTTTGTTTCTATTAGAAGAGTATCTGTATCTCCTTTTTAATTTGTTGTTTTAGTTATTCATCATGGTATTTGCCTTTTGGGGACTGGATTATTTCACAAAGTATAATAGTTTCCAATTGCATCCTTATGGAATCAACCCAGATCTCCATCAACTGAAGACTGGATGAAAAAATTATGAAATTTATGTACACTGTGGAATATTACACAGTGGTAAAAAATGAAATCCTGTTATTTGCTATATCATTGTATTAAATATGTGTTGTATTAAGTATCTGCTCTTTGAAAATTTATAATTAACTTCATTATATAATCTGGAAATGAGGCTTTTTTTATTTAACATTTTTATTTATATATATATTTATTTGAAAGGCGGAAAGAGGGAGAAAGAGAAACAGGAAGACATACACACACACACACACAGAAAAAGAGAGAGAGATCTTATATTCTCTAGCTCACTCTCCAAATGCCTGCAACAGCCTAGGTTGGGCTAAGCTGAAACAAGGAGCCCAGAATTCAATCTTAGTTTCCCACGTGGGATACTAATGAGAATTCAACAGGTTCTGAATGTACTCTTTGAAGCTAGATTACAGTTTCAGGTTAAAAGAACCTCTTGGGCTGGAAACGCTTTTCTGGTTCGTTATTTCAAGTGAGAACTGAACGACTAGTTCCCAGACTGGAAGTCTTTCTTACTGACTGTGTGTTCTGAGGGAGAATTCACTCTCTGAGTCTTAAACTAGAAATTTTTTCCAGACTTACTGATGAAGTCTCCTTTTCTGCATTTGATCCTGATTCTCCTGTGGGAACTTATCAGTTTACTGAAAACCCCTCTTCCTTGAGCCCCTCTTCTGGGTGCTTTCTTTCTTGTTGGCGTGATTTTTACTAAGGATAATTTGGAACTTCAGTAGCCTCTTTGTGAAACTTCAGCTCTTTCCAAAGTGACTTCTCTAAGACCTCTCCCTTCACAACACTACTCCTCCTTCCTGCTTTTTACCACCTTTGATCTTCCCTTAAGTTCCTTTGAATCCCTTGATACATCCGCCTTTGAACCCCTATCTCTTCCATCTCTTCATCTGCCCTGTGAGATATTTCACCTCCCATTCCAGCCTCTCAACACCGTATAGTTCTTTGAACGGTAGTTCTACTGCCCCCATCGGGGACTTTCAAGGGACTCAGGGACCACCAAAAGCCACTCCTTATAGCTGAAAAGAGCTGAAAGAAATGATGAAAGATGGGTATGGTTTTGTTCGGACACATGAAACTTCTCTCCTTTTCTCTTAAGCCATCAATCGCTTTAAAAATGCAAGTTCTTTGATTTCCTGTATAAAGACAAGTGAAACAATTATGTTTTTCCTTGCCTCAGTTAATCAAAATAGGAACTTTTATGGAGTATTTTTATTATCATGGCAGTGATTATCTATATGACCAAAATATGAATCTGCCCTCCTTATAACAGAACATAATTGGAAACACTGTTTATATAACCAAGACTTTGACAAGAATGTCATATTTGATACTGATGCAGAAAATTATATTTAATTAGATGGTTTTAAGGAATTAAGTTTTACTTTATGGAGCCAGTGCTTAGAAAATCCTCTTGGAAAATTGGACGAGAATTTGTTTTACAGAGGTCCCAGCTTTAGAGATGAGTAAGGAAGGTCACTTCCTGGCAAGCCCAAGAACCTTAGGATGTAGGGGACCTAGAAAAGAGAGGAATTTATCAAAATAAAGCGTTGCAGAAAAAAATCCAGTGGTGAGTTCTTGCTTAGCTTCCTAGCCTCAAGTGCCTTTTGAAAATCAAATCTGAAATTTCTTTTGAGAACTTCCAACAAAACCTATTTTTAAAAGGCCTCTGCAGGGGCCAGCATCATGACATACCAGATTAAGCCTCCACCTGCGACACTGACAGCCCATGTGGAAGCCTGTTCAAGATACAGCTGCTCCACTTCCAATCCAGCTCCCTACTAATGTGCCTAGAAAAGCAGCAGAAGATGGTCCAAGTGCTTGGTCCTGTGCTACTCACGTAGGAGACCTGGAAGAAGTTCCGGGCACCTGGCTTCGGCCTGGCCTAGCCCTGGCCTAGCCCTGGCCATTGTGGCCATTTGGGGAATGAACCAGTGGATAGAAGATTCTGTCTCTCTCTCCTCCTCCTCCTCCTCCTCTTCCTCCTCCTCCTCTTAACTCTAACTTTCAAATAAATAAAAAAATAAATTTTTAAAAGGCCTTTGCAAGTCTATTACTATGCTTTCTGCATTAAAGTCAATAATGAAACCAAATCTAATGAGACCAGACTTATTTTGGAAAGCAGAATAAACTGACGTTAGCTCATTTTTATCAAGAAAGGAATGACTACAAAAAATACTTTCATGTTTCAGTGGAAAACTATAGAACATCCTTGTGGGTTATTGGATTTTAATTGTTCATTGTCCTTGAGGTTATAGAACCTACATGTAAACCAACCTGGATCCTGTCATCTTGCACATTTTGTCAATTCTTCTTGTTTCCTCTAATGTCTGACTACAACTCTGCAAACTAACGTTTCTAATTGTTACCATATCTTTCTGACTTGGAGTCACTGAGAACCAAAACCTGACTGGCCTGATCAAAAGAAGCCCTGTGAGCTGAAGCTGGATACTTCCATGCTCTGCTCCAGGAAACAGCCAGGACTACAATACTGATGTCTGTGCCCTCACTGCAGACAGGCAAACTGCCCACCAGGAAGTTTGTAGGATTATCACAGTTGTCCTTACTCCATCATCTAAAGATGCTTTTGGGGCCCACATCTAGAATATATATATATATATATATATATATATACAGAGAGAGAGAGAAATGCATATCTAGGCACTTGGGCAGCCTGCACTTGGGGAGGCAGTTCTTGAGGGAATATTCTGAAGATCTTATGTGTTTATTTTCTATATTGTATTTATGTATAATCCATGGAATTAAGAAATTTCTAAGTCTTAGTATTCATTTTCAGAATTGTTTACTTATAAATTTGCTGTAACATGTACTTTTTATTTTTGTCTAATTTTTTGACTTTTTGAATGTTTTATTTTTGTTATGTTTAAATAAACAATGAACTAAATATCTTCTAAATAATGATAAAAGTACATATTTCTAGAGTTAGTAATAAGAGAGCAGCATCTTGTGATGTTTTCTCACATGTCTGGAAACTTGCATACAACTTTATATGTGCTTGTTTATAACATTTATCAGCTATCACCATGTATTAAAATGTTTAATTATATATAAGTGTTATATCTATATATAATTGATAGAGTACATATATAAATACATATATATACAGAGATAGGTAGAATGTCTTATTCTAACAATAGCAAAGTGAAGACAAGATTTATAATAATTTCTCATATTATTCCTGACAATACAATATTTTTATATAAGCAATGGACAATAAACAATTCTTAGATAAATATTTTAAATTGTTCTAAGTAGTTCTTAGATGCATATTTTAAGTTGGACAAAGCATGAAATTTAAAATATATATTATGAACCAATTGTATGTAAAAATACTGTGATAATTTTTGTAATCTGTCATTCTAGTATTATAAATATGTGCATGATCATTTGTCTCAGGAAGTAGTCCTTTCATTTATTATTATCTGAAATTTTCCCCATGGAAATTCAACAAACAAGTCTGATAAGTACAGTTAGTTAAAATTGTTTTCCTTATGATATTTAAAGAAAAATTATTCAGAACACAATGATCTTACTATTTCATTTACTTTGCTTTTTTTTTTTCCAGACTTGGGATGTAGCTTTATCACGGACAGCTAGAGCATGGGGAAAAAAATGTGTGTTTAAGCGTAATACTCACTTAGAAGACGTACAAATGGCCCATCCTACATTTTATGGTGTTGGTGAAAATATGTGGGTTGGCAAGGAAAATGAATTCACTGCAAGTATTGCTATCAACAGTTGGTATGCAGAGAGGAAAAATTATAATTTTGAAAATGGTAGTTACTCTGAAAACTGTTCTAATTATTTACAGGTATTTAATTTATAATTTTAATTATTAATTTATTGTTATATTAATTATTAATTGATTTATTAATGTATTAACTATTAATACAGTACCCTTAACTGCCTAGTTTGATTATGTTTCAAATAGATGAGTTAATGGTAGATTTATTACTTATAAAATCAAAATTCTAATTACTCCTATATCATCAAAATGTCCAATAATTCCATATATTATGTGAATCATGCGATTAAAATATTCTTTTAAATAGTGTAAATACAATTTCCATACACAAAGATGCAGGAGACTTTTCTAAAAATTTTGCATACTGGGAAAGGAAATGGGAAACTGATAAATAAAAATTATTTATAAACTATTAACCATAACATAAGTAAAAGGTGGTGTTTTTACATGAATCACTATAAACATTCTACCACACAGGTTTTGATTAAAATACTTTAAATGCAAACTAATAGTAGTATTTCTGTACCTCAATTCCAACAATCTATTGTGACACTTATATCCCAGGAATATTGATTTATTTTTCATTTCCTATATACATCTTTACCATGTTGCATAACACACAGCTTTATAATTATTTATCAATCTGTTAATACACTGAGGGCACAGACTTTGTCTTGTCATCCCTATATTCTCAACACAACAACATTATTTAGATATTCAATAAATACCTATATTAAACATCTGTATTAAAAATCTAGAAATTACTGAATGAACCACAAAATTTATTTAAAAGATGATTATTTTTCAAGCAATAGATCTTGGTGTTATGTTTTATGTAAAACTTAGAATTTTGGAATGTGTTCATGTTGAATTCATATCTTTCTTTCTGTTCCACCAAATTAATCATGCTTTAAAACATTTTAGGTCACTTCTTTCTTCTTCTAGAAAGCTATAACGGTTTTTCATTGTCTTTTCATATTAAAGTTAGATTTCTTAGTATAACTTAAATACTCTCTGTAAACTAATCAAATCTACTCCTTGGTTTACTGCTGTACTCTGTATCTTTTACTCCTTAATTCCAGTCCCCTGGAAATTCTTGTTTCCTGCATTTGACCTACTTAAATCCACTTCAACCTTCACATTCTATTTTCTACTATTTTTTTAAAATAATTTTTATTTTATTTGAAATGTAGAGGGATACATAGAGACAGAAGCAGAGATCTTTCATCAGCTAGTTCATTCCCCAAATGTCCACAAGAGCTAAGGCTGACCCAGGCTGAAGTCAGAAGCCTGGAACTCAATCAATGTCTTTCACGTGGGTGGAAGGGATCCAAGTATTTGGCCCACTGTCTGCTGCCTCCCAAGGTGCACATTAGCAGGAAGATGGAGTCAAAAGTGGAGCAGGACTCAATCCTAGGCACTTTAATATGGGAGGTATCCATCCCTACTGACATCTTAACTGCCACATCAAACATCCATTCCTATTCTGTATTCTTTTCATCTATCATTCTATTTCTCAGACCGAAAACAAAGAAGAAATTAGAAAAACCAAAAACAGGGGCTTACACCGTGGCAGAGTGGATTAAGCTGCCAACTGCAGTGCTGGCATCCCATATGAGTGCTGTTTCAAGTCCTGGCTGCTCCACTTCTGATCTAACTCCCTGCTAGTGCACCTGGGAAAGCAGTGGAAGATGGCCTAAGTGCTTTGGCCTCTGCACACACATAGGAGACCTGGAAGAAGCTCCTGGCTCCTGGCTTCAGCATGGCCCAGCCCCAGCTTTTGTGGCCATTTGGAGAATGAACCACTAAATGGAGGACCTCTTTTTTTCTCTCTCTCTCCATTCATCTATCTATCAAATAAATAAATCTAAAAAAAAAAAAAACCTAAAAGCCAGATTTGAGATGTATGGGATACTATAAAACAACCCAACATATAGGTCATATAGGCATTACTAAAGGTGCAGAAAGAATCAATTAGAATAGCTATTCCATGAAATAATAGCAGAAGACTTAACCTAATTTGGAGAAAGAAAGGAACATCTAAGTACAGGAAGCACACAGAACTCCTAACAGACACGACCAGAAAAGATCTTTACCACTACACATTATAGTCAAGCTTTCAACTGTAAAACATAAATAAAAGATTCTAAAAAGTACACTACATAAATGAAGGTAATTCCTTCAGAGGATCTCCAATTAGACTGACAGCTGATTTCTCACCAGAACTCTACAGGCTAGGAGAGACTGGAAAGACATTGTCCACATCCTAAAAGAAAAAAAAAAATTGTCAACCCAGAATATTGCACCCTGCAAAGTTATGATTTATAAAAGAAGGTGAAATAAAGATTTTGCAAAACAAACACAAATTGAAAGAATTAGTCACTACTTCTCCAGCCTTACAAATGATACTTAAGGATATGCTACACACAGAAAAAAGGATAGTCATTATTATTAAAGAATGTGAAGGCAGAAAATCTGTAAAGGTACAAAGGAAATCCAAAGCAAAGAGTAGAAATATTTATGAAAAATGGCAGGGCCAAATCATTACTTATCAATAGTAACCTTGAATGTAAATGGCCTAAATTCTCCAATTAAAAGATACAGAATGGCTGAATGGATTAAAAACAAGACCCATGTATCTGCAGGCTGGAAGAAACACACCTCACCAACAAAAATAGAAACAGACTGAAAATGAAAGGATGGAAAAGGATATTCCATACTAACAGAAAGCAGAAAGGATCAGAAATTGCTATCCTAGTATCAGATAAAATAGACTTTAACACAAAAACTTGTAAAAGAGACAAAAGTTATAATGTAATGATTAAGGGATAAATTCAATAAGAAACATGACTATAGTAAATGTATATGCACCCAGTGCAAATTTACCAGGCTTCCTAAAACAAATATTAATGGACCTAAAGGGAGATATTGAATCAAACTTTTAAAATCATTACAGTTCAATGTAAATATACAAACATAGAAAAAAAAAAAACAGAAATGATTCCTATTTCTCCCATGGAGTTATTTTTTTTGTTGTTGTTCTTGTTTTGTCCACTTGGAAGTACTGGGAATACTAAAGTCACACAGAAAATTTCTGGAATGACTTCATTATCCCCGTCTTTTTCACACCAATTCAAAACGTGAAACCAGATTCTATTTATATTTTTCTTAATGAAAAACCCAGACTTTTTTTTTTATCTTGTACTAGGATTTTCTCAACAAAAGGAAGATTTCTGAAAGCATTCAGTTATTCTCTACTCTTGTATCTCTTATTGATGTCTTCTATAGATATACTGTCCCTCATTTTTATCCTTTTATGCATATTTTATCATTTTATCCTTCTATGCACAATTTCCACTTCTCTAAAACTTTTTCTCCTTTTGTCCCTATCTTCCTCCCTGCCAATATTCTAGACCTTTCTAAATACTCAAAATGGAGAAAATTGATTAGTCAAGTGTGACTTTCTAAAGCATTATTCTGGATAGTGCTCTCAAACCATTTTTCCTAAGATAGTATATTGGTAGAACCTATTAAAGTATTTCTCTAAACACAGTTTTGTAAATGCTGCCCTAAATCTATGATAACTCTCTACCCATGTCTAAATTTTTAAAAATAACAATATTTATAACTGTACATAGGGAAAATATATAGTTTATATTCCTTTAATTTCTTGACCAAAGGATCTGTATAAATGAATATTATTATTTATAATATGATAGTGTAAATGTGAGGAATTAAATGTTATATATTTTTTTAATTTTTATTTTAGCTAGTTTGGGACAGCTCTTACAAGGTTGGTTGTGCTGTTACTCCATGTTCAAAGATTGGAACTATTATACATGCTGCAATTTTCATATGCAACTATGCTCCAGGGTAAGTTACTTTAAACTGATAGAAGAATATAAACACACACTGAGAATATTTCAATATTAAATTTTCTAGCTTTTAATACATTCTTTTAACTATTGTGTGACATATAAGAGAGTTAAATATAAGATGCTAAAGACTTTATATTGAAATATTTTCAATTCCATAATGAAGTAATGTTATAACTTAAACATAACTGATATTACTTATAGACTAGCAAAGTATTACCCCCAAACCTTAACTTTAATGTTATTTTATATCTACTATAGGATTTAAAGTATTTTCCAAAATATTAAAATATTCTCCCATATATAATAATAAAAGTTCAAAGAAAGTAAAATTAGATGTGTTTAAATTCATGTGATAGAATTGTTTCAAGAATTCTGTTGGTTTGGGAGCAGGAAGGACAATATTAATTGATCATTCTTTGGAGATTGCATTATTAACTGATGATAACCTCAAATGTATAAGGAATCATAATACCTCAGAAATAGGAAGCATTCCATTTAATTTGAAGGAATCGATGTATTTTCTCACTTCTCGCCTCAGTTCTGCATGATGAATTAGGCCAATTTTGTAAAATCCTATTTATATCTATTTGCTTGTATATGTATTTATGCATTTTATATAGACTCCAAAGAAATATGTGCATCTGAATTTTTGGCAATAGGTGTTTCAGGATTTTGTAAAATGTTAATATAATTAATATACTGTTTCTACAGAATGTTTTAAACATTTGTGCAAAGCAAAAATCAATTATAACACATTCTATCAATTTTTAAGTATTTCATTTTATTTGAAAGGCAGAGTTATAGCAAAAGAAAGAGGAAGAAACAGAGAAAGATAATCCATCCATTGGCTTACTCCCCAGATGGCCAAAATAGCCAGGGATAGGTCAAGCCAATCCAGGAACCATGAGCTTCTTTCGGGTCTTAGATGTGGGTGCAGGGGCCCAAGCACTTGGGCCATCCTCCACTGCTTTCTCAGGCACATTACCAGGGAGCTGGATTGGAAGTTGAACAGCCAGAACTAGAACCAGTGCCCAAATGATACCGGTGTTACAGACAGCAGCTTTACCTGCTATGTCATACCACCATGCCAACTCCTAACATTCATTTTTGAAGGATACATTTTGCTACAAACTAAAGTAAAAGAAGCTTTAAAATTCACTCATATTTAACTTAGAATACTTGATTTAAAAGACATTGGAGTTCCTTTTAGAAGAGACTTTTCTGGGGATGTGAAGTGAGGGTTGGAGAGAGTGCATCTCCAATTTAAGTACTGCCTTCTGTCTGCTTCCCTAATTAAATCATATCTTAAACTAATAGGTAACTGTATTTTTAAAAGACATGTAAAAGTTGAGACTTTTTCTGATTAAAATATTTTCTGCTTTTTATTTTGTAGAGCAACTCTGACAAGAAGGCCTTATCAACCAGGACTATTTTGTACACATTGTGGCCCTCGTGACAGATGTACAGATTTTCTATGCAGTAAGATAAACAGAATAATTTATATGTAAAAGGGAAAAATTATTCATGATGCATAGGATAAGAAGGAAAATGAAATGATTCAACACTAGTTTTTCATTGTTCTGTTAATGTTGGTCCTCTGAGCCTATGGTATTTTTCTGTTTGGAAGGTTAAAACAGTATTGTGTTTAGATTTTTCTAAACTGAAGAGCCTTTGGTACTTTATCATACCCATATTCCTTCTAAGCACATATCAGAATGTCAGAAAACTGGCATGAGAACCTACCATTTTACCCTGGAAAGCTTCACAGTTAATTCCTAAAACAGCAGCTTATTTGACAGGGCAATAGAATAAGATATTCTAAAATACTCATAAAAATAAAAGAAAGTTAAGTAGCAAATGCTTAATAGCTTTTTGATTTAGCATCCCCCTACCACTCTAAGGAACTAAAATTCAAAAAAGAAATTCAGAAAGCAAAAAGTAGAAAATGCTTGATCAAAATTGTCTTTTAGTTTTTCCCAACATAAGAACATATATTCTAAAATCATAACCATACCTGTAATGTACAATACCTAGAGGAAAGTGGCAGTGGATAAGGTCAGACGGTAAGAAAAGAACATATTTTGCTTTTGCACTGAGAACTAGTGGACTGTTTCATCATAACACCACTACTGAGGTGAATCCCTCCTAACATCTCTGCCCTTGCTTCACCTGAATCAAGATGGAAAGTCTTTCTCTGACTCTTCCCCTTCTCTTCCTGAAAAATTCAGCCCTAAAGCTATTAGGCATGTCAGTCGGAAGCAGGCATCTACAGGGAGGGACAAACAGATTGAATGTTAGCAGGACAAGGGTTTCACACAAGCTGCTAGGGGGCTGGGGAGGCAGCCTAACTGGAGTAAAGACAATGTCCACACAGAGGTGTGGGAAGTCAGAACCCTTATGGAGTTGAGTGTCTCTGTGTAAGTGGTCAGGCTTGGGCTGTCAGAGCCGGAGCAGGATGAAGATTTATCCATGCAGGATGTCTCAGCATGTGGTGTCTATGCCAAACAAAATAAGGACAGCGTCAACACAGGATGGGAGGGAGAAGCCTGGCAAAGGGCGTTTCAGTGTGAGCAAATGAGGATGACATTCTTTGAGAGAAGGTCTGACACTATTGGAGCCCAAGCAGAATGACAAGAGGATGCACATATAGGGGTGGACTGATAATAATGACAAGAGGATGCACATATAGGGGTGGACTGATAATAGATACTAGAACTTAAGCAAGTTAGAGGAATCTATGCTTAGGGACGACCTTACAAGTAGTGTCAGTGTACAAAGTAGTGGAGCAAAAGTTCTCTGTAGGGCAGATGGACTGGAATGGGTGCAGTCAGAGCCCTAGTAGCTTTAGGAAGGAATCTATACATTGGAGAATTAAGGGCTGAATTTCAGAATCTGAAATGGTGGGCAGGTGTCTAAGTAGAAGGACAGCCTATATGTGGAGAGATTAAACATAGGACACTGAATTAAAATTGAAATGAATTTTAGGGGCCAGCATTGTGGCACAGCATGTTAGGCCACCACCTGTGACTCCAACATCCCAAGTCAGCATGCTTTGAGTCCTAGCTGCTCTACTTCCAATCCAACTCCCTGCTGATGCACCTGAGAAAACAGTGAAGAATGGTCCAAGTACTTGGACCCCTGCCACCCAGGTGGTAGACCAGGATCATCTTCTAGGCTTCAGCCTGACCCAGCCCTGGTCATTGTGACTGTTGGCAAGTGAACCAGTGGATGGAAGATATCTGTCTCTCTCTCTCTCTCAGTCTCTGTAACTCTGCCTTTTAAATAAATAATCTTTCAAGATAAACATAAATAAAATGTTTTCAGTAAAATTGATTTTATGTAAATAGAAAATTTTAATATATTTATTCCAAATATTGCATAGAACATACTATGCTAAAAAATCTGCATCATTTCTTAAGATTTTTATGTTTATTTTCAAAGCAGAATGATAGAGAGAGAGAGAGAGATCTCCCATCCTTTGGTTTATTTCCCAAGTGACCACATCAGTTCAGGCTGGGCCAGGCCAAAACCAGGAGCCTAGAACTCCATCCAGATCTCCCATGTGGGCACTACGGACCCAACCATTTGGACCATCTTCTATTGCTTGCATATTTAGCAAGGGCTGGTTTAGAAGCAGAGTAACCAGGACTTCAACTGGCTTAACCTACTGCACTATAACACCCTGCTCCACAACATAAGCCCTGCACCCTTTATTTTTATTCTTTAAATCTGGCCATTTGTATCAGTCTGATGTGGGATATCTGAGCCCAAGCACAGTGAGAAGTCGCCATATCAGGGAAGTACTAGAGGCTGTGATCAGAGATGGGAAGCATACTGGGGACTGACTAAGTAAATAGATAAATTAAGGATAACAGGCTCAGGTTTTTGATTGCTATAGAATGGAGTAAAAATATGTAAAGGAAGAAAGCAAGCATGAATATTGTGGTGCTGAATTGGGATTACAGTTTCAGAACTTTAAGATTTCAACAAAAATAAGTGTAAATGTTGTATATGCATGTATCTACATCCACATATTCCCTAACTCTGGTGGGCCTTGGAGACCCCAAAACGCTGGGCACGACTAGCACCTAATCTTGGTTTCTAAATGCTATTCTACAAGAAGGAACCAGGATTGACTGAAGAAAAGGCTGACTGATTCCAGAGCTTGGGCAAGGAAAGTATAAGTTTAATCCAGAACATCTTTTTATACTTGAAAATACAGAAGTGCTCAAAGAATGATGGAAACAGATAAGAAAAAAGACACAGATGTCATCTTAAAGTTCTTTCGCCAGCCAAATCTGGGACAATATGAGCGCTGAAATAATGGTAATAGTAATCAAATAATGGTAATAGTAATCAAATATAACCCATTGGATGAAGCAAAAAACCATTCATACAGATGTAAAATAGTAAATGAATACATCAAAAATTTGATGAGAGTGGCCGGCGCTGTGGCGCAGCGGGTTAAAGCCCTGGCCTGAAGCACTGGCATCCCATATGGGCACTGGTTCAATCCCGGCTGCTCCTCTTCTGATCCAGCTCTCTGCTGTGGCCTGAGAAAGCAGTAGAAGATGGCCCAAGTCCTTGGGCCCCTGTACCCATGTGGGAGACCCAGAAGAAGCTCCTGGCTCCTGGCTCCTGGCTCCTGGCTTCGGACTGGCGCAGTTCCAGCCGTTGCAGCCAATTGGGGAATGAACCATCGGATAGAAGATATCTCTCTCTCTCTCTCTCTCTCTCTCTCTCTCTCTGCCTCTCCTATCTCTGTGTAACTCTGACTTTCAAATAAATAAATAAATCTTTAAAAAAAAGTTTGATGAGAAACAGTATATTTACATAGTTTCAAAGAACTCACCATAAAAATATTTAATTCATAAGGGGAGAAGGTAACCTCACAGTGGATGAGCCCAGCTGGCACAAGTCAAGTGATCAAAGTGAACATTAACATTGGGAACAACTTACAGACAGAGATTGCAATGAGCAGAGCAGAACATTGTTTCTTTTGTATTCCTTGCAAAGTTACAGGACCCAATCCAATCATAAGAGTGTGTCAATTAAATCCAAATTACAGATTTATTTTAAAAACTGAGTATTTGTCTACAAAATAACTAACTTGTTATCTTTAACAACAGGAAGATCATGAAAGCCAAAAAGAGAATGACCTGTCCCAGACTAAAGAAAATTAAAGAGAGATGAAAATTAAATGCAATACATGATTCTGAATAGGATATTTTCACTGCAAAGGACATTACTCTTATAATTGAAAGAATTGATTAGGATCTGAAAATTAGATGGTAGTAATATAACAGTCTAAATTTTCTCATTTTGATGATTCTGTCATTATGTAAAAGCATGCCCTTGTTTGTAGAAAATCTACACCAAGTACTCTAGGGTGATTAGATATTAGGTTGACATTCAAATATTTCAATAAAAAAAACTTGCACTGTATTGAAACTTTCTTATAAGTTTGGAATTGTTTCAAATTTTTTTAAATTTCTAAAAAAGAAACTGCAAAATCTCAGGAAAACCAATCAGTTTGGAGATTTTTTTATTCCAAGAGATAAAAGAGGTTCATTGTAGAGTATTTGTAAAAGAAATAGAGGGGCCAGCACTGTGGCATAGCAGGTGAAACCACCACCTGCAGTGTTGACATCCGAAGTGGGCGCTGGTTCAATTGCTGGCTGCTCTACTTCTGATCCAGCTCCCTGCTACTGTGCCTGGGAAATCAGTGGAAGATGGCACAAGTGCTTGGGCCCCTGCACCCACGTGAAGACCCAAAGGAAGCTCCAAGCTCCTGGCTTTGGATCAGCCCAGCTCCGGCCATTGCAGCCATTTGGGGAGTGATCCAGAGGTTAGAAGACCTCTCTCTCTCTGCGTCTGCCCTCTAACTGTGCCAAGGAAAGGAAGGAAGGAAGGAAGGAAGGAAGGAAGGAAGGAAGGAAGGAAGGAAGGAAGGAAGGAAGGAAGGAAGGAAGGAAGGTTGGTTTTAAAAAAAGAGAAATAGAGATGATGAGAGTAATCTGATTACTATTTATGTAGCAAAATTAGCACATCATGAATACTAATCTGATTTGGTGATGGCAAAAAATAGAGTGTAAGATAAATACCAGATTTGGGGTTTTGGTGACTATGATATAATTTATTGAGGTATGAGTTATGTGAAGAGAGGATGCTACAGAAAATAGATGATAGATTCAGTTTTTATCATTATTATTATAGATATGTTTCCAACTATAACTATACACGTTTTATAACTATACACACAACTATAACTATATAGAATTCTGTATTTCTCCTCCCAGTTCTGTCAGTTCTCCTTCATGTATGTCAAAATTCTGTCAAGTGTACATGCAATTAAAATCATCTCTTGATGAATTGGCCATTTTATTCATATGTAATTTTCATTTTTCCTCCTGATAACTTGCTTTGAAATCTATCTTCTATTTCTTGGATATTGTTTCTGTTAACTTTCATTTCAAGGTATTTATCTAATAATTCCTGGATGTTTTATCTTGCCTTTGGTAGTTATTACTTGTCTTTTCTCATTTGAGTTGAGATGGTTTGGTTGAATTATATGCTAGGATTTGTAATATTTCATTATGAAACATTTAAATTCCATGGGGAATGTTGGTATTCTAGTTTTAGAAGGTACTTGACTGGGTTAGGTTCAGACCGGAATTTCCAGCTTGTCTTCTGTGAACTGTGTTGCCAAAATTCAGTTTTCAAAAACTTTGCTTAGATCCTTTCTAAAAGAACACTGTTGAATGGTGAAAGTAAGTGATAAAACACATCTTTTAGAAATAAAAATACTTGAATGTGCACACTCTGTACCAGAAAAAAGTGACACAAAGTAGTCAACATAATCAACATAACCTAGCAACTCTGGTTGCTAGGGGAAAGGGGAGAAGGGGAAAGGGGAGAAGAATCCTTTAAGCATGTAGAAAAAAAATTCATTTATTACAGAGTTTAATAGTCTGATTTGACTAGTAGGGTAGGAAAACAACTACTCTGTTCTGGAAAGAAGTTCTTCTGGAAAGAAGTTCTTTAACATAGGAAATACAATTTTACATTAATGCTATAAATACTCGGGTAGCAAAGGTCAGGGAAGTCGCTACCCAAGGGCTGAGATGTGGCAGAAAAGCATATAGTTCCCCCTTTCAGCAAGGAGCTCACTGTGGATCTCCTCTTTATCCAAGTTGCTTTCTTGTTTACAACCATCTCTGGAGAATTATGGTCTCTGCTCCTCTTGTAACTTCCACATTTCACTTGACAGTCATTGACAACTTCTAAACTAACACTTTGCAGAGGTGTGAACTCACAGAACTGTAGTGAGCGTTAGCCCTACATTACAGAATCAGCTTTGCTGTGATGTGGCAGTAATGCCATGTTTGTGATTAACAATCTTACCAGTACAAAGTTAACTGAAAATAGATCTTTGTAAAAATTAAGAATGGAAATAGGAAAGAGAGGAGGAAGAGGGGTGGGCGTGTGTGTGAGAGGGAGGGTAGGTAGGAAGTATCACTATGTTCCTGAATCTGTATATAGGAAAAACATGAAATTTGTATATCTTAAATAAAATTTAAAAGAAAAACAATCCCACATAGAGGGGAAATTTTTAATCTAGCCTTAACATTCTCTGCCATAACAATCAGTGCTAAGAGACTGTGGAATGATGCCTTAATACAAGAAGTACAAGAATTTATATATGGTCAAACCTGTTACTCAAGTCTAAGCAAATAGACAGATGTTTTGGGAGCACTCAGTAACATATGTTATATAATTCTCTTGAGCACTTCTTCAATAAACTACTAGAGTTTCACAATGATAAGATAAATGGGAAAATTGCAATGAAAGGAATAACCATAAACATTGAACATAATTGACAGACTAGGACTAAAATAAATGTGAGGATTATTGTAACAAAACAAAAATATAAATAAGCAGATTTTGGAAAATATATAAATAATAGAGTTTCTCTCTGTCTCTCTTTCTCTCACTAACTCTGTCCAAAAAAAAAAAAAAGAGTGGGAAGTATCACTATGCTCCTAAGTCTGTACGTATAAAATACATGAAACTTGTATAACTTAAATAAAATCTAAAAAATAAAATAAAACATACAAAGAAAAAATGTTCATTCATTCTTTTCAATAAATTGATTTATTTAATTAAAAAAATTGTGAGAAAAAGCGAGAAGTAGAAAAATAGGTTTAAGTTTTCATTGTGTATAGCCAAGGCTCAAAGTTACTTTTAAAAGCAGATAAATTGAAGGGCAGGCGCTGTAGCACAGTGGGTTAATTCTCTGGCCTGAAGTGCCGGCATCCCATATGGGTGCCGGTTCTAGTCCTGGCTGCTTCTCTTCTGATCCAGCTCTCTGCTGTGGCCTGGGGTAGCAGTAGAAGATGGCCCAAGTCCTTGGGCCCCTGCATCCGAGTGGGAGATCTGGAAGAAGCTCCTGGCTCCTGGCTTTGGATCGGCGCAGCTCTGGACATTGCAGCTATCTGGGGAAGGAACCAGCGGATGGAAGACCTCTCTCTCTCTCTGTCTCTACCTCTCTCTCTAACTCGTCTTTCAAATAAATAAAATAAATCTTAAAAAAAAAAAAAAAAAAACCCAGATAAATTGAGGGGCCCGAGCTGTGGCGCAGCAGGTTAAAGCCCTGGCCTGAAGCACCAGCATCACATATGGATGCCGGTTCAAGACCCAGATGCTGCACTTCCAATCCAGCTCTCTGCGATGGCCTGGGAAAGCAGTAGAAGATGGCCCAAGTCCTTGGGCCCCTGCACCCGCGTGGGAGACCCGGGAGAAGCTCCTGGCTCCTGGCTTCCAATCAATGCAGCTCCAGCCGTTGCAGCCAATTAGGGAGTGAACCAGCAGATGGAAGGCCTCTCCCTCTCTCTCTGCCTCTCCTCTCTCTCTGTGTGTGTAACTGTCTTTCAAATAAATAAATAAATCTCTTAAAAAAAACAGATAAATTGGACTAATTATAGTGGCTTAGCAAGTGATGCCGGCATCCCATATGGCACTGGTTTGAATCTCAGGTGCTTCACTTCCAATCCAGCTCTTTGCTAATGTGCCTGTATATATTCATAATGTTGCATTTATGAGGTACATACAAATTAAAAAATTAAAAATTAAATTACAGAAAGAACAAAAAAATTTCTTTCTAAAGATAATATCATTGTAAGACAAAGCCCTCAGGTTTCCATTGGGCTGTCCATGTGTGCATGCTCATATATCCTGCCACTCTTCTTCCTGGTAGAATTCAGGAATGGTTATCTGACACTGTCTGCCCAGGTGAGCAGAAGAGAGGGAATTTTGGGGCTGGTACTGTGGCACAGTGGGTTAAAGCCCCGGCTTGCAGTGCTGCCATCCCATATGGGTGCTGGTTCAAGTCCTGGATGCTCCGCTTCCCATCCAGCTCTCTGCTATAGCCAGGGAAAGCAGTAGAAGATGACCCAGGTTCTTGGGTCCCTGCACCTGTGTGAAGACCCAGAAGAAGCTCCTGGCTTCAGATTCACCCAGAGCCAGTGGCCATTTGGGGGGATGAACCAGTGAATAGAAGACCTCTCTCTCTCTCTCTCTCTCTCTCTGTCTCCCCTCTTCCTACCTCTCTCTGTAACGCTTTCAAATAAAGTAAAATAAATCTTTAAAAAAATAAAAGAAGAGAGGGAATTTATTGCCTGAGAAGTGTTATTATCTCATTGGGTCAGATTGCTAAGAACAACAAATGCTAAGCTGTAGATTTAACTTTTCCACATAGGAAATGGAAAAGTAACTGAAACTTTCTTGAAACAAGAATTTAATGGGCAATTGAGTTGATTCTGAAACTTAATTTGGGATCATTTGGGACAGAAAAAAAAAAAACAGATGAAAATAAGAGATATTGTGGAATCCTAGAATGTTGGAGTTGGAACAATGTTTAGAGGACAGAAATGAAGTGACTTATATAAGGTGACACAATGATTTAGAGACTGAATTAGCACTAGAACTCACATCTGGTTCCTCTATTTGCAGCCTCCTAGCAGACCAGGCTTACATTTACTAGAACAGATTATATTGCACTGTATAATTGGTTACTTGGTGGGAAGGACAATCAAAAATGATAGTATAATACATGAGAAAGGTGATACTGTTATTGGAAAAATATTTTAGTTTACAAAGAAAGACAAAATTTTGTGAAATTCTTTATAGACTTTCTTTTTTTCCTAGGTAATGCAGATCGTGACCAAGCTATATGTATGTATTGATGTCCTTTATTTCTTTAACAATTTCACTACTTTATGTGCAATACAGTTTTTAATTACTTTTCTATTTACAGATTACCAATTTTGGTATCCAAAGTGGGAAGTGCCCCGGCCAATTGTATGTGATCCACTGTGCATATTTATTTTGTTACTGAGAATACTATGTTTTCTGCTATGCGTTATAATTGTTTGCATAATACAGCCTTATTTTCCAAACATTTTATTGGAAAAGCAGATGAGCTTTACCCCTGACCAATCTGAAACAGAGGAAGAAGAGAATAAAGACAAAGAGGAAATGGAGAGGGAAGAGGAAGAAGAAGAGGAAGAGGAAGAGGAAGAAGAGGGGGAGGAATAGGTGCCACCAACATAAGCCAAAAATATCATACCAAAAAAGCCAAAATTTAAAAAAACCTGAGCTTTGACAAGAAAGAATGTATGCAAACCACTATTGTAATATTATTATTATTCTCTTCTCCATACTTATTCAACAGATTTAAATTTGAAGAACAAAAATATATATTTTGTATAGAAAATATTAAGGCAAAGTCAGACACTAAGAATAAGATGTTATAATAGAAACACTGAAAAAGATTTGACCTAATTTATCTTAGGATTTCATTATGGGATCCTGATCAAGGAGGGAATTTCCATTTTCTAAATGTTTCCATCTCTGTGCTTTAAGTTTCTAAGTGAGTTAATGACTTTCTCAAGAACTAAGTAGATTTTTCATGTAAGGTACTTAGGACCACTCCAAGTTCACAACAACCATTAAGTAAACATCAGGGTTTTGGTTTTAATTATTACGATCATAGTTCTTATTGCTGGGGGTGGTGATGATATTTTTCATGTGATATCCAGGTATCAAACATGCTTACTTGTCTTTGTGGCATTTGTTTTTGGAATAATTTAAAGGATGTCTGTACATCCTGTTAACTGATAAATATATTATTTCTATTTCATATACAACATTTCATTAAGGACTTGCTGTAATTTGTTGTCACCAAGCAATAATAAATACCCATAATTAATGAGTTTTGATTGAGAAATCCGGCTTCTTTCAAATTTATATGATAATATAGAATATTTTTATAAGCTTTATTTTATTTATTTGCAAGAGTTAAAGAGAGAGAAATCCTTCACCCACTGGTTTACCCCACAAATGACCATAATGGCCAGGACTGGGCCAAGTTGAAGTCAGGATCCTGGCATTCCATCTAGGTTTCCCACATGGAGGTCACAGAACAAAGCACTTGGACCATCTTCCTTTGATTTCCCAGGTGCATTAGCAGGGAGCTGATCAGAAGTGAGACAGCCAAGACTTGAACCTGAGTTCAGATATGAGATGCTGACATCGTATACAGAAGCTTTGCCTGCTAAGCCACAACACCGGACCCTAGAATACATTTTTTTTAATTCCCATACTTGTAGTTATTCAGTATGTGAGAAAAAAATCATGTTTCCACTGATAATACAAATAATTGTAGTGAATAAAAATATCTAGCATAGTAAAAAAAAATCAAGTGGTATAAAATCTGTTAGTTCCTTAGTTGTGACAATATATTGGAAATTTAATTTTTTTTATTTGAAAGCCAGAGTTACAGCAAAAGAGGAAGATACAGAGATAAAGGGAAAAAAGAGAAAGAAGAGAGATCTCTCCAAATGGCCACAATGGCCAGGGCTGGGCCAAGCCAAATCCAGGAGCCAGGAGCTTCATCTGGTTCTCCCACATGGGTGCAGGAGCTCAAGGACTTGAGCCATTCTCTGCTGCTTTCCAATGTACATTAGCAGGAAGCTGGATAAGAAGTGGAGCAGCGGCCGGTGCCGCGGCTCACTAGGCTAATCCTCCACCTAGCGGCACCGGCACACCGGGTTCTAGTCCCAGTTGGGGCACCGGATTCTGTCCCGGTTGCCCCTCTTCCAGGCCAGCTCTCTGATGTGGCCAGGGAGTGCAGTGGAGGATGGCCCAGGTGCTTGGGCCCTGCACCCCATGGGAGACCAGGAAAAGCACCTGGCTCCTGGCTCCTGCCATCGGATCAGCGCGGTGCGCCGGCCGCAGCGCACCGGCCGCGGCGGCCATTGGAGGGTGAACCAATGGCAAAAGGAAGACCTTTCTCTCTGTCTCTCTCTCTCACTGTCCACTCTGCCTGTCAAAAAAAAAAAAAAAAAAAGAAGTGGAGCAGCCAGGACTCTAACCAGTGCCCATAAGGCATACTGGCAAGGCAGAGGGCAGCTTGACCTATGCCACAGCACCAAAATGGAAAAAGGTGAGAGTTTCCAAAAACAAAAAGCCAGGAACTATGGATTTTTTAAACTTGGGTTATAGAGTTTTCAGGGGGAGGGGGAGCTTTGTTTTGTTTTTTGGTGTTGAGTATGTTTCATTTGCTTTGGTTTTTTTCCAAAAAATTCTGCTTTTTAGATAGCAAATGTTTTGTTTCCATGCATTCACCTGTTTCACACCCAGTCTCCTGAGAAAAAGCCTTAGAGAAAAAGACTGGTTGTCTACAGTGATTTTATTTATTGTTGTTACTGTACATTTATATTCCAATTCTCAAAAGTGCTTTCATATAGTTTATATAATTACTAAATACTCAAGACCGCCCTGTGGAGCTGTTATTGCTTCCATTTTTAAATGGAAGAGAAGTTTGACCTGGGATTTGTGAAATGGTTCAACCTAGGACTGAAAGCAAATTAACTTCTGAACATTCTGATGCATTTACAAGTAGAAATTCCTTGTGATAACTTGTTTAGTTCCCACATATGACTAACTTGAATTTGCAGTCAACAGTTCCTAACTGGGGCAACTCCTCCCAGAATACTAGGCAATTCCTGTAAACATTTTTGATTGCCACAACCAGGGAGGTACTGCTAATACCTAGTGGGGAGCAGCCAGGAGTGCTGCTAAATGCATTAGACAGACCCCACACCAGAGAATTTTCCAATCCAATATGTCAGTAGGTGCTGAAGTTGAAAAATTCTCTAGGCTTATTTCCACCTTGGAAATATACAAATTATGGATGCTTGGATATTGTGTTATATTTCCTTTAACTACCATTTTTCTGAAAATTGTTCTCCTGTTCCCTCTCTCATTCTCCTTACCCCACCCCTTTTGCTACCCAAGTGATTACCACTGGGGCAGTCATTTTGTTATGGTGATTCTGTCTTCCTTCATTCTGGGATGGTCCACTGACCACAGCTGATCTCAGTTATAGTCTCTGCTTCAGAAATAGACACGTTCAAGGCAAGCTTTCCTTGGTGGCTAAAGTTTTAAGATGTAAACCTCTGAGGTTATTTAGTGTTCTGGATGGGGGAAAAGGGACTGAAATATGAATTTCAGAATCAGTAAAAGGCTCTTGTTCCTGATGCCTAGTAATATCCCTACTTTTTCACCTAAATGTTTTTTCCTAGAATATGCTCTATTAGCCATCCAGTAGGTTTTCCTTTTCCTTTATATTGTTTTGAGTTGGATTTTTGTGACTGATTGAAGTAACAAGACTTTTTTAAAATAGAGATTTTTCTTTATTTTAAAATAGCATAAAAAATAATGGCACTAAAATTCCCATTTATGAATATCACTGTGTCATTAAAAGTATAGTATGTCTTCTCATAGTCTATTCTCCAATCATCTCGAGCTCTTCCAATACTCTCTGTACTTAGTGTGGGGAGCAACCCGGACTGGACTGAGTTACTGGAATTAAGACTTATTCTATGCATCTGCTCTCCCACAATATGGCGCTGGGAGAGGAGGCAACAGCTTCTACCCAGCTGCCTCTCACCAACTTGACAAGCTGCAGGACCTGCTCCTGATTGGAGGAGAGCAGCGTACTCGGCGTGTGGGCAGCTGAGTTAGGATTGGCGGAGGAGGACTATAAAGGAGGAGAGAGACGGCATGCACGAGGAACATCTAAGGGGAACACCTGTGCAGCCCCCGAGAGAGCCGGCCGGCGGTGTGCCGCTCCCCCGCGGAAGTGGGGAATGTAGCAGGGGGAACTGCCCTTCCACGGAGGTGGAAGGGACGGTAGCCAACCCGGGAAGAACCAGCAGCAAACCCGGGGAGGGCCGAGCAGACGAAAGAACAGCGCAGGGTCCTGTGTTGTTCCTCCACGAAGAGGGGGAGCGACATAATGGTGCCGTGACTCGGATAGGAAGCCTAGGCAGGGTTTAGTGTTGCTCCTCCACAAAGAGGGGGAGCGACATAATGGTGCGGTGACTCGGATAGGAAACCTAGGAGGGAAGAAACGGGAAGAAATGGGAAAATACCGGAGAGAGAGACTAGCAAACAGCCTAGGGAAAAGCCGGACGAAAAAGGTGCCGGAAGAAGCTATTGAAAGCCTAGGCATAGACTCGGATACGGACTGTGGGAAAGAAGTTAGGATTTAAAGTGAAAGCAAGAAGAAACTTAGACTTAGATACGGACTGCAGGTTGAAAGTGAAAGTGAAACCTATAAGAAACTTAGACTTGGATACGGACTGTGGGGAGAGGCCAGGAGAAATGAGGGAAGAATATTGTTGGAAGAAAACTTAGGGAAACATACCGGGTAGAGAAAAATGTTAGGGAGGATGAAGCCGCGAGTGCAGGCCGAGGCGAAGACGTAAGCCAGCTTGGAATTCAAGTCAGCCCGGGGAGCAAAAGGCGAAAATCTGGAACCAGAGGCAGAGACGTGGGCCGCCAGGTTGGAATTCGCCAGGTTAGTCTGGGGAACTTGGACTGAATGCCGGTGGTGGCGGAAACATTTGCAGAAGCCGCCGCGTGCAGAGAGAGCACGGGGCGTGAATAGATAGGGAACACGGGGCTGGTGCGAGGCCGTGGTGCGGGCGCGAAGTGCGTGGAGACTGTGGAGCGCGCGAAGCCGGGCCGCGCAGAGCCGGGCGCCGGCGCCTGCCGGGAAGCCGCGCAGATGGGAGAAGCGCGGGCTGAGGCGGCTCAGAGCTGGGAAGCCGCTGAGAAGCAGCCTCGGGGCGGGCGCCGGGAAGCCGCAAAGATAAGAGAAACAGACATTTAGAAGTAAAATGAGAGAAATAGGAATGCTGGTAGATAGAAGTAAAATAGGAGAGATAGGAATGCCCGGAGATAGGGAAATAGAGAAAAATAAGGCCTCCCCACAACGTGGCAATGAGAGCTTGGATTCGGTCTGCCTGATTAGGGAGGTGGTGAGCACTTGCGGGCGGCTAGCAGTTTATGCGCCGCAGGTCACCGAAGACAGGCACGAATTAACATCAATAAGTCTCCCCACAATACCGCAATGAGAAGGCTTGGATTCGGTCTGCCTGATTAGTAAGGCGGTAAGCACCAGCAGGCAGCTCGACCAGAGTATGAGCTGCAGGTCACCGAAGATAGGCACGAATCAACACCAATAAGTCTCCCCACAATACGGCAATGAAAAGGCTTGGATTCAGTTTGCCTGATTGATAGGGCTTGTAAGCACCTGCAGGCGGTTCTGGCAGAGCATGCGCTGCAGGGCACCGAACACAGGCACGCATCAGCACCTAAAAACCTCCTCACAACATGGCGAAGAGAGGACCCGGATTTGGTTTGCCTGATTGATAGGACTTGTAAGCACCTGTGGGCAACTCTAGCAAGCAGAGCAGAGTGTGTGCCGCGGGACACCGAAGACAGGCGCGTATCAACGCCAAAAATAAAAAGAAAGGGGGATCTGTGGGGAGCAACCCGGACTGGACTGAGTTACTGGAATTAAGACTTATTCTATGCATCTGCTCTCCCACAATATGGCGCTGGGAGAGGAGGCAACAGCTTCTACCCAGCTGCCTCTCACCAACTTGACAAGCTGCAGGACCTGCTCCTGATTGGAGGAGAGCAGCGTACTCGGCGTGTGGGCAGCTGAGTTAGGATTGGCGGAGGAGGACTATAAAGGAGGAGAGAGACGGCATGCACGAGGAACATCTAAGGGGAACACCTGTGCAGCCCCCGAGAGAGCCGGCCGGCAGTGTGCCGCTCCCCCGCGGAAGTGGGGAATGTAGCAGGGGGAACTGCCCTTCCACGGAGGTGGAAGGGACGGTAGCCAACCCGGGAAGAGCCAGCAGCAAACCCGGGGAGGGCCGAGCAGACGAAAGAACAGCGCAGGGTCCTGTGTCGTTCCTCCACGAAGAGGGGGAGCGACACTTAGAACCGTTTTTTTTTTTTTTTATTACACAGGTTACAGGTTGACTCCTCCATCTAACCTAAAGAATTATTAGCATGAATCCCAAAGAAGTCTGGGGAAATTACCCTTATTCTGTTTCATGGCACTGGGTTTTAGTATGAACTTT